GAAGGAAGGCAGCTGGCAACATCATGCATGCCAAAGGTTAGCACTGACTTTTGCCATGGCAAATATGTAAGCATGCAATAGCATGCACATATGCATCCACACACATGCATATGCATAGTCACACACCATTTCGACAAAACTGGCCATTCAAATACAGGACTATATACATGCAAGATGCGCATTTCTTGGTGGCAAGTAACATTTTGCATGGATTAGGAACTAATAAATCATAACTTTATTTTTTTATTTATTTATTTATTTATTTATTTATTCATTCATTCATTCATTCATTCATTCATTCATTCATTCATTCATTTATTCATTTATTCAAAACAGGAAGGTTTTGACCTGGCGCCGAAACGTCATCAGTGTCGGCGCCAGACGAATCTCCCTCCTCCCTCGGGAGGGCGTTCCATAGTCTGGGGGCAGCTGCCGAGAAGGCCCTTTGTCTACAAGCCGTCCCTCTGACCTCCTTGAGTGATGGCTCTCTCAAAAGGGCCTCCTGGCTAGATCTTAACTGCCAGGTAGGTTCATATGGAAGGAGGCGGTCCTTCAGGTATCCAGGGCCCAAGCTGTTTGTGATAAGGCAATTGGTTATCACTTTGTGATAAGGCAATTGGTTATCTCTTATCACTTTGCGGTAAGGCAATTGGTTGTCTACAAAGAGATATGAAAATAAATCTTCCCCAAAGTTCCATAGAGTCAAAATTCTTTGGGGAATGTTTTTATTCATATCACTTTGTTGACAACTGATTGCCTTATCACAAAGTTATAATTAGCTCCTAATCAATGCAAAATGTTGCTCACTACCTTGTAGTCCTTAATTACAGGTATAAATGAGCATATTGTGCAATTAGACAGCTGGCTCATTCTGAAATAATGATTACATTTCTTTCTTCCTTTCAAAATAGAAACAGAATCATTAATTGCTTAGCCATATTCTGCGGCATGCATATAGTCAAAGCCTGTGCAGCAACTGACCCAGCAAGTAAAACGTATTAAACACACCAAAGGTACAGCTTAATTACAGGTATAAATGAGCATATTGTGCAATTAGACAGCTGGCTCATTCTGAAATAATGATTACATTTCTTTCTTCCTTTCAAAATAGAAACAGAATCATTAATTGCTTAGCCATATTCTGCGGCATGCATATAGTCAAAGCCTGTGCAGCAACTGACCCAGCAAGTAAAACGTATGAAACACACCAAAGGTACAGATGTACAGAGAGAGAGAGAGAGAGAGAGAGAGAGCTTTGGAAGCAGGGATGGGAATGGGGAATGGGTAGATGTGGCAGCTGCAATTTCCTTCTGCTTGAAACTTGTGTCAGTTCGTAGGCATCTTCCTTGCTTTTTGTAAAAATGGTTTACTGCACCCATGTGGTCAAAAAGAAAACATCAGTTCTGACCATCCAATTAAGTAAGAAAAACTGGAGAGAGGAGGCAGCATTAGTCCTCATCCCCAATGAGTGTTTTTCATAAATAAATCATAAACATGCATCCTTCTCTCCTGCATGATTGCTACTGAATGCCCACCTTCATGGTTTTTCATTCTCGTGAAAGCATGGTTTATATTTCGTAATACTTTGTTCTGGGGATACGTTTAGTGTTATGGAACTTCTCAGACAGATGAGAGCCTCTTGGAAACTATCAGTGAGCAAACAACAAACCTAGCTAGTTAAGCCATCCAGCCAACTCTGGAAGAGACGCTTCAGATGAGAGGTTAAGTTCTTTTATTCCAAAGATTTCTTGAAGATCTCTTAAAGCGAAGTGGCTATTAAAAAAATAGCTATGAATTCCAGTAGAATCTGCATACCTTTGTGAGAAAGCAAAAGAAAGAAAGGCAGGTGGGTGGGTGGGAATCTTGGAAGAGCCCTTAAGAGCCCAGAAAGAAGCAGTCATCTGAGAAGGTAGGATCAGAGATAGGGAGTGCTACTTTTCTGGACCACAAATCTCATAATCCTGCAAGGACTTTTCAGCTTTTGGAAACTGGAAGGTGTAATTTGAGAGTAATTTCTGGTTGGGGATATGCACTGTAAAATTTTATCTCGGGTCCCATTTGCACTGTGATAAAATACTACTTAAACTATTGTGATGCTGTTCATGTAAATTCAGGGCATGACCATGTGAAATTTACTGAATTAAATCGTTATTAGATAAGAAGAAAGGCAAACCATGGTTTAATCCAAAAATTGGGCAAAGATCGTGTGCGAGATGTAGAGGATGCTGAAACCACTTTGAAAACACACTCAGAAATACTCGAAGAAATCTGGAAAAAGATGGAAGCTGATTTCATCCAGTAAAACAGCTCTGATGTTCTTAATTCTTCTTTGATTTTCTTCTATTGATGTGAGGAGTTCAAACTAAATGTAGAGCAGATCTTGGAATTAAGTGATTCCTGTTTCTCTTTCTTTCTGAGTCACGCCATCTTGGTAATGTTTTCTTTGAATTGTTATAATTGTAATTTTTTATGATTTTATATATATCATATTGCCCTGTTTTATCTATGTAAGCCGCCCCAAGTAGACATTGTCTAGAGGGGCGGGGTAAAAATCTAATAAATAAAATAAAATAAAAAAATCTGTTTTGGACTACCACTGCCAGAATCTTGAAGCACACCATGACTACTAGCCATACTGGCTGAGGATTTGGGGGGCTGTAGTCCTAAAAGGTAGTAGAAAATTGGTTGTTAATGTTATTCACTCATCCTGGAAGTCAATCCTGGGGAACAGGGTTGGAAGCTATTTCATGAAGCTCTTTTGGATTCCTTTTAATCCCATCATAATATGATTTTCCTCAAAGCAGAATACCCCTGTGACAAAGCTACATAAAAATTGGATTAACATGCTTTATAAGCATGGTTCCTACAACAATAGGCAATGGGTACTGGCTAAGCATTCAAATCATTGAAGCGACCAACATGAATTTGACCAAACTCCAGGAGGCAGTGGAAGACAGGAGGGCCTGGCGTGCTCTGGTCCATGGGGTCACGAAGAGTCAGACACGACTTAACGACTAAACAACAACAAACTGGCTAAGCATTCAAATTGGCTTTGATTCCCATCCATTTCTCCTCAAGCCAGTTTCATTGCTTGTCTGTATTATGATTTTGTCTTTTTCTACCCATCTTCTCTTCAGTCTCGGCTGTTTAGGTATGTATTCTTTACATGACATCTACCCACAGTTTGGGAGTGCCTAGTAAAATCTAGCTGGTAAAACAAAGCATTCTTATTAGCATTTTAGCACAAAGAGACAGAAAGAGAGTAATTATTGCCCATATCTGAGACAGGATAGCAAAGGGACAGATTAATTTTTATACAGTATTCCATTTGTAGATGATGCAGCAAGGGTGGGTTTTTTTGAAGGCGCACAGCAAAAAGAAGACTGAGGGTTAATTAAGAATTATTGCTATATGAATAATATTAATTTGGGGCCAAATATTCACAACACAGATGTTAACAATGATAAGACTCCTATAGATTCTTCCTTGCCTGAAGCAAAAATGTCTGTAACACTGAATGCTTTCATGTGAGCCTTTTACTATTCATTTCCTGTTTGAAACATAGAACTTCAAGGGCACTGAGTCATTGTGGTCATTCGTTTGTAGTTTTTCTTACCACGAAACGAAACGTGGTAGGAATAAAGTGAAAAGAATAAGGGGAACAAATCCAGTCTTGTTTCCTCAAAGATTTTACCATCTTACCAACATTTACCATTTTTCATACAATAAAAAGATCAATTTCACTTTGTGTTTTTTTTTAACTACAAAATCTCCACTAAGGAGCAGGGATACCTTTTCTAATACAGTACTTCCACAGGGGGAAAAAGCATTCCATACAAAGCAGTCTTATCAAGTTTCTGACAACCTTCTCAAAATTTAATAAACATTTCTTTCCTCGTGTTTGTATGAGAAGGAGAGCAGAGGAGTTTCACCTCTCTCTCTCTTATGGAATATATAGAATATATTTGTATTCTTTGCTATGCAACCATGAAAGAACCATGAAGCATTATGAGTAATATTGGTTTCACCAAATTATTATGAAAAAAAGAAAGAAGGAAAGAGACTGGAAACATTCAAAGAAACTGTGAAAGGAGAAATACTCAAGAAATAGAAAAAATGGGTTTAGCCACTGTTTTGGCCAATTTGTTATTTTATTGTGTTCCTCAGAGAAATTCACTTACCACATAGCAAAAATATGGAACAGATTATCAGAGGTCTATATACACCCTGTCAATTTACAGATTGTCGTGAACCAGGTCACAGAATAATTAAATTGTCCAAAATGTGCTAGGCTGTTTCAGCAAATAAAGCTTTCTTTCTTTCTTTCTTTCTTTCTTTCTTTCCTTCCTTCTTTCCTTCCTTCCTTCCTTCCTTCCTTCCTTCCTTCCAGTGGGGAGAAATATTGCCATGGAATTCTACTGTTTCTGGGTTCCGGGTCTGTTCCAGCCACTGGCAATGGCAATCACCAATTGGCCATCTGTGACCTAAGCAGAAGTAAAGAATGTATGGCCCTCCATAAGTTGCTGGACTGCAACTTCCACGTTCCTTCTCACTCCAAATTATATGATCTAGAACTGCTGGGGTGATAAGGCAACCTTTAATACGCCACCCTGTTTTCTGTGAGAGAATTAAGCTAATGTAAACTCAGAGTGACTCATTCTGTTTGCCTCTCTCCCCATTTCAACCTCCACTACTCCAACATCTTCTGGCATAAGAAAAAAAACACAGTACATGCTACTCTGCAACTTTCCCTCCCACAGCTGTCTGTGGCACTGTGTTCCAACACTGACATCCTAACAGGACCGACCAACCACTACACCTCCCACATATAAATCCTGTTGAAACCTTATAATCTTCATACAAAGCCCATCCCCTTTCTCCACCCTGGGATGCCCAGCTGTCTTAATATGCCATGTGTCACTAAGAATATAAAACCACTGATTAGACGTCCCTAAGACTACAAGTCTCCACACTTCTCTCTGTCTACATCCGGTGGCATCATGGAGCAATACCAGTGGATCCTGTCGCTACTCGCAGTCTTGCTAATTGGGGTCTCTCTCCTTTACCAATGGAGCACCACCTTCAACTTCTACTGTAAGATGGCCCTCTTCCATGGTTGGATAATACTTATGGCCACCGTACTGTCTCCAGTTGTAGCTGTAATCAATGGGCGAAATGTGGAAAACATGAAGTGAGTAAAACTTCAATTGTACCTTCAGCTCTGTGTGGATAGTCATATCCAGGAGAACAAGGCAGGTCTTGGCACTTTTTACTAAGAGACAGGCCAGTAATTTTCTTCCTCAGTCAAAAATTCAACTCAAGACTTCTTCTAGTCAACTTCTCAGCGCAAAGGTCAGGTTTCTCCTGGTAGAAATCAGAAAATCTGTTAATTTTTCTTTCTCCTGCCTTTGAATTTTTTAGACGTCATTTTTTTTCCATCTTTGCAAACTTTTACAATTTTTTTCATCAAGGTGAATTAAAATGTCCCCTTCCCTCCCCCCTTGTGCTATGCAAATTCAATAACTATAGCTATTTCCAGCATTAAGAGGAACTGTGTTCTACCTTCTTTCTGTGCAGGTGTCAAAGATACTCAGGGGGGAAAAGGAGGATAGCAACTTTCAGCACAATTGTGCTGAATACACAGTGATTCAAACCCAGAATTTTTAAGAGATAAACACTCAAAGTCCTGTGTCTAAACAGATAAATTGTTTGTTTCTCCTGCATGTGCATTTTGAAAAAAAATCAGATCCTTTCCATCCCATATATGAAGATACTTGTGGATATTGGTAGATCCTTCTTTTTAAAAAAATGAATTTTTTCTTGACAATAGTGCTTGGAAATTGGTTAGCCTCCTGGCTCTGTTATTTTCATGCAACGATTACCCTAGGAATTAGGGAAACTAATCCATCCCTAGTTCAGACTAACTTGTGGGCATTCTTCATTCCATGAAACAAGAGATTGTCTCTAGAAGCCTCAGGAATCCTTTAATTCTCTTAAAGGGACTGATGATAGTAACCACTTTAAGCACACCTTTTGACTTAATTTAAATTCATTCCTAAATGATTTTGCTTAAGTTCCATTGTATCCAACAAAAGGCAGAACAAGGGCACAGCTGTATATAAAGCATGTAACATCTGCCATGTGGCAAGGGGACATGGCTCTGCTTTTGGTTTGGCCAACACAAGTTCCTTACCCCAGATACTTCTTACCATTAAACAAAGAACATTGTGGCATCTTAAAGCTTGTTAAAGTATGTGGTTTTATGCACTATAATCTATTTAATCAGATATGATAAGTGCAATCCTAGGTTAGCTAGTACAGTATTTACACCCCTGGTCGGTGGGATGGTTGGGAACCAGAAACAATAAGTTTAGAGGAGAATAAAAGGCACAAAATGCAATATGTGATGCTTATGTTACAAACTCAAAGTTGTGAGAGCAACTTTCTTCCAATGCAAGCAGAAATGTGAAGATTACAACTCCCAGCATCTCTAGCCATAGCATTATCAGATTGGCTATACCTGTGCTAGAGATGCCATTGACTGATTATTGTTGTTGTTCAAGACTTCTCCCCTTTAAGGTCAGGAATAACAGAGCTTCCAGAAGAAGTGAAGGATTCTTCTGTTGATTTGTGAGGTTTGCCTTTTCTGATGCCAGGGTTCAGCGGGTTATTGTTTTGTGTCTCTAATGGAGAATGTACAAGGCCGTTGCTGTAAGATAGTGTTATATATCACACCAGGAAAGGAGCAAATGAATTCACCCTTTACATTATAGCTGACAGTTACTTTTTTGGGGCAGTCTAGAGTTTTGGCACTGTAAACAGATGAGGAGGAAAAATGTGCTAGCCTCACTCCCCTTGTGTGTTTCCAAACCCTTCTAAGTTTGGAGGGCAACTTTCCAATGAGAAGATCTTTCTCTATCCATGGAGGATCTCCATATCATATGGAATACTGATTTTCCAGTATACCTCCAGAAGGCAAATCTTCAAAAATTACAGGAAGGCATCTAGCCCAGCACAATTCCCCCCTCCCTGGCTTAAAATGCCTATCTTGGCAGGGGTGGCCCATCCATAAGATACATTGAAGAAGCTGCCTCAAGTACCAGATTTAGGGTATCATCAAAAGACAGCATGCTCAATATACATCACTGTATTTTTATTGCCAGGGGTTAGGAAAGATGCTTATGGGTTTGTGACATCAAGTGCCAGAATATCTGGCTTTGAATATCATGTACTTTGATATGACTTGTAGGTGGCTCTGCAAATTGGCAACATCTGAACAGAGGTGTTATCAAGTCTTATCATGGTATTGTCAGGGCTGGAATCAGCACCTGTTGTTGAGCTGTGCTTATACCAGTTATGTTGCCAGCTGCTGCTAGGTAGTTATCTTACATTTAGTGATTCCCACCCCCGTTCTGCATAGCGTAACTGACAAAAGTGCTGCACACAGAGCAAAAAGTTTATGTCTGTGAATATGACGTGCTTTGTAGGGAGGCAAATCTTCATTCATCTTGTCCTTTAATGGAGGGGTCCCCAACCCCTGCTCCGCAGCCCGGTGCCGGTCCTTGGGCTTCCTGGAATTGGGCTGTGAAGATGGATCTCCACCCGACCGCATGGTGGGTGTGTCATGCTCGCGTGCAGGGGGCATGTTGCGCTCACACACATGCATGGAAGTGCAATATGCCCCCCATGCACAGAGCCCACCCACCCCCAAATGGTCTGCAGTCCCAAAAAGGTTGGGGACTGCTGCTTTAATGCCGGGGCAAGGAATTGCAGTATACAGTAGTACCCTGGTTTACGAATTTAATGCATGCTACGGGATATTGCGAAATGCAAAAAAATTCTTAAACCAAAACGCAGATTGTCATAGGAACGTGGGCGGCGCTATAAACCTCCAGGCACAATGCATCCAGAGGAAATGTCCTTCGTACTGTGGAAAAAAACATAAACCAAGGCATTATTTTCAATGGATTTCTGTCTGTAAACCAAAACTTACGTTAACTGAGGCGTTCTTAAACTGAGGTACTACTGTACTTTTCTTTGCTGGCAAGGGTAGTGAGGAGCTTCCTGGAGCTTTCAGGAGAGTTCTCACACTGGTGGCAATGGTGATTTGTGCAAAATTGCCTGGTTTGGGGAAGGATTGCAGAAACAGAATATTTTGCACAAATAGGATTATTGCTTTACTTAAGAATGTGGAGCACTAGATGGGCGGATGACATTTTTCTTAACAATCAACCAACCCTTCTGTTTGCTGAGCATGTGTGCGCTTCGTTTTTCAAAGAGAAAAAACAGCAGACACATCATATACATTAAGAGATAATCTTGCTCTCAATTGGAAATAAAGAAGCCTGCTGGTTTAAACATTCTTTAAGGAGGTGTACCCTATCAAGACACCCTAAATTGACAAAGAAAAGGGAATTAGCAATCATTTATTTTATTTTATTTTTTGGTAAGGCTGCACATATTGTTTATATGTGTGGGTGTATGTGTTATATATGTGCATGTGTGTGAAAGCACATGTGAATTACTGGATGAATGGGTAAGCACTGCGTGGATAGATGAATGGGTTTCCAAAGGACTTCATTGGTATCAGCTTGATTTCCAGTCTCTTTTGTGAATGCATTCAGTTTAGGTAACCACACAAAGACCTCTGGGTTGTTTCAATCTCAGTGTCCACAGTGGCCTCTCAATCTGTGCAGTTCGATCCTTGCCCACAGCCGCCCGTCTCTTGATACTGCCCTCCAACTGATCTCTGGCTCTCCTTTTTTGTGTCCGCCCACAGCCGCCCGTCTTTTGATACTGCCCTCCCACTGATCCCTGGCTTTCCTTTTTTTGTGTCCCATTAAACTGCAAGGACTGTTTAAAGCAGTGGTCCCCAAACTTTTTGGACCGCAGACCAGCTGAGCCTCTGAGAAAGTTTAATGGTGACAATCAAGAAACTGAGATAAAGATTTTGTACAATTTGGGTCAATCTTCAACCCAAATGGAGACTGCAGCCTAGAAATCAGAAGATAAAGACTTGGGAGAGTAGCTATGAAGGAACTAGAGAGGATAATTAAGGGTAAGGATGTGTCCCTAGAGTAGGAGGCCAAGATAATCAGCACTACAGTATTTCTAATCACTATGTACGAATGTGCAAGCTGGACAATAAAGACGGCTGATGGGAGAAAAAAAATCAAATCCTGGAGAAGAGCTTTGTGGATACTCTGGACTGCTGGAAAGACAAATGGATGAGTCTTAGATCAAATCAAACTTGAACTTTTTGTTTGCATATAGACTTCACATGCAATTGAGAAGCAATTTGGATCCCTGCTCACTTTTTAAGCCTACATTCAAGTGGAAACCTCTTGCATGAAACAAAACAAAATGAAACTAATTGCTTTAGTTTAAATTAATTTAATTTAATATAATGGTTAACTTTAAAAATCATTTCCAGTATTCTACAATTCCATACAAATGACACAAAGGGAACACAGTTTCATGCAACATATTGTCCTGTTTTATCCTCTTCTGAATTATGCATGTCCTCTTTTTTTTAATGATGTGTAGTGGCCACGCTGTGAAGATTTGTTTTTCCTTCTCTGCAGGGTTCTACGCCTCTGCATTAAGCCACTCAAATACTTCTGTGGCATCAAGATCACAGTGCAGGGCTCTGAGAATCTGAATATCAAGGAGCCTTATGTGATTGTTTCGAACCACCAGAGCAGTATTGACCTTCTTGGTAGGTTGCTACTAGAATGTCAAGTTGGGATTTTTGCATGAAAAACTAATCCAAATATATGAATAATTTTAAAGTGTTATTTAGTCTGTCATCCGTCACTAGTCTCAAAATGTGGGGAAAGGAGCAGGGGATGTCTTTGAGCAGGAAGGAAAGATAAGAATTTGCTATTCCAAACAGTTAGAGTGTTTTTTTATTCTAAAATAAAATATAATGTTCCAAAATCTGATTTATTCAAATTTAAAATGCAACCTTTATCTAAAATTTTCATATCCAAATTTTTAAAAATGAGAACTCCCCTCAAAATGAATTTATAACTGAAAAGAATTTGAGGCACTGGCATGTGCTATGAGAATATTGTGAAAAACAATGTTTATATTTTATTCCCTTCTATGCAAAGCCTAAATTCTTGAAAAGAGCAAGGCTACATAAGTGAAAATGGGAGACTGAGGGCTAGCCCAACCATCAGGTAGAGTGAAGTATCATCTCAGATGGCAGATAATGGATGGTGTAGAGAAGCCAGTGGTGACAGCCTTCTGGCCGTTTGTCTCTGTTAGAGCAGTGGTCCCCAACCATGGGCCTCCAGATGCTCTTGGACTACAATTCCCAGAAGCCTTCACCACCTCTGCTGGCCAGGATTTCTGGGAGTTGAAGTCCAAGAACATCTGGAGCCCTAAGGTTGGGGACCACTGTGTTAGAGGACAGAATATGACGCATAGCCTGCTTGCCCCCATCAACTTGCATGAAGCCCTCTGGTGAGGTGGAGAATGTTGTCCCATCTTCAGTATTTAGTAAAATCCATTGGTTAGTCTAGAAGCGTCTGTAGGTGGGATCTTATCCTTTGCCTCAGGCAGCAAAATATTTGGGGTCTGGCCTTGTCAGGAAGAATAATTTATTTATAATTATGTTTTTCCACCTGAGAATATTTCTTGGGATATCAGAACATACAGATGGCCAAGATGCTCCCATTATAACGTTCTTCTTCCTTTCCAAGGGATGGCAGAGGTTATCCCGGATGGCTGCGTGACTATTGCCAAAAAGGAGCTGCTCTACTTGGGACCAATAGGCTGGGCTGTCTGGATTTGTGGCTTAATTTTTATTGACCGCAAGAAGAAGCGGGAGGCCATGGCCACAATGGACGGCATCGCAGAGACCATGCGACAGGATGACGTGAGCACTGGGGTGTGAGAATGGGGCTCATTTTGAGGAACAGTGTCCCTATGGAAGCCTAGAAAATGGGAAGGGCATCATGGTATTTCTATGGCAGATTCCAGGAACATCCATAGGTGGTTCGAGAATTGTGGCTCAGTAATAGAACCCATGCTTTGCATGCAGAAGATCTCAAGTTCTGTCCCAGGCACCTCCTGAATTAGACAGCAGCTGATGGAAAAGATCTTTCTTGGCAGAGACCTTGAAGAGTCATGGCTAGTTAGAGTATGCACCACTGGGTGAGATGGAACAGAATTTTGAATAGTAACCTTTTGGGACTACGGCTTGAGTATTTCACCTCCAACGTGGACGTTCTGACTGGGAGAACCTGGCGAGGAGGAAAAATTTAAGCTGTGAAATAGTCTTCTTTGGTACAAAGGTTTCCTACTCTGCAAGCATTTAATGCAATGTAATTTCCAGAGCTGTGTTTTGTGACAGACTTGCAAGATCCCTGTAGGGAGGCAGTGAATGAGGGAAAAGCCCAGCACCACTTCTGCAGAGGAGGCGACCCTGTGTCTCTCTCTCTCTGCCTGGATCACTGTGCGGCTGCCTTCCTCTGGCAGTGAATCAGTGGCCAAGGTTGGAAAATGTACTTCTTTGGAGAACAATGTCTAGAATTTCCCAGTCATCTGGCCAACAGTCGAAAATCCTAACTTTTCAGACCTTCTCTAATCCATGGCACACACTTTGCTCTTATACATCAAAGGAGGAAATACATATACAGTAGTAACATTTCCTACACCATCCCCGAGAGGGCATAAGCAACCTTTCTTATTTAAAACAACAACAGAAACAGGGAGGTATCAGGATTGCTGCTCCAAAATCTTGGGGTATTAATTTTGGAAGCTGTACCTATACATTTATCCTTAAGTAATGCTCTATACTGTTTTCCTTAACTAATACTGTTAATGGCACGGCTAACAGGAAAATGCAGTTGTGTGAAGAGATTCTGCCTCTCAGATTTTGGTGTTCATTCTCCAGGTTCCAGGCTGTGGCCCTGAAATATCTGGGAATACGTAGCAGATGGACTGGTCACCTAGGAAAAGACATTGATATATGCTGAGAAGCATCTTTGTCTTTTTCATGACTTTGTAATCTCTAAAGGTGATGTTGGAATTCACGCATTAACAACTGTTGCTGTTCTTTTTCTTGCTTCAAATACCCTGGATAAATGATTTCCAGTATAGAATTTAGAAAACAGTGTTTCTTTTCCTTTAAAATGACTAGCTTTTAAATTCAACCTTATGCCTCCACAATGTCTGTCTATGAGTTACACAAACAATCTTTTGCAACTGTTGACAAAGAATCTGCTGCATATAATATCACCACGACTTCAGAAGGGCCGGTCCGTAAGTCTCAAGTGTTGACTCTGAGGTCTCAGGAAGTAGAGAAGAGGGTTACCCACAGCACTCCAGCTGCAAAATTCAGCCACAGCTTTACCCTCAACTTGAAAACAACCGATCAATCCAAGCTGAATGCACTCAAATGACCATTCTTTAATTAATTAATTGGTATTGCCCAAGTTGGTAACCTCCAGATTGTCTGGTCTTCAACACTCGTTCCTCTTTCTGTTAGCTAAAGAGGAGAGCAGTTACAGCCAAAAAATATATATATAAATGTATATACAGTGGTGCCTCGCAAGACGAATCTCTTGTGGGACGAAAAACTCGCAAGACGAATGGGTCTTGTGAGTTTTTTGGTGCCTCGCAAGATGGGCCGTCTTGCGATATTTTTCGTCTTGCGAGGCGGGTTTCCCATAGGAATGCAATGAAATTTAATTAATGCGTTCCTATGGGGAAAGAAGTCAGAAACCAAAAAAAAGTCAGAAAAAGGTCACTTACGAGGTACAGTAGACCAAGCTCCACTCCTAACAGTGCCTTGGTAGCCCCGGAACAGCCAGACTCTGTGTGAGCAGAGCACCAAACAGCTGAGAGGCGGCAACCAGCAGAGAGGTGGCAGCCATTTTGGAGAGGTGGCAACCATTTTGAAAGGTGACCACATGGCTGCTGCCTCTCTGCTGGTTGCAGACTCTCAGCTGTTCGGTGCTCTGCTCACACAGAGTCCAGCTGTTCCGGGGCTACCAAGGCATTGTGAGGAGCGGGGCTCAGTCTACTGTACCTGGTAAGTGACTTTTTTTGGTTTCTGACTTTTTTTCCCCATAGGAATGCATTAATTAAGTTTCAATGCATTCCTATGGGAAACTGCACTTCGGAAGATGAAATTTTCGCTAGGCAGTATTAACTGTCAAGGCACCACTGTAATCAATCCTACTAGGTATGTTGGTTCTTTACAAACTGTCATAGTAGCCTTCTCTGCCCTGCAAATCTATCAGTTACAGAATTAGCCAAAATGAATCAGGATACAGATTTTTTTATTTTTTTGTCCACATGAGACAGTTTTGCAAAAAACCTCACCCTCTACCACCTTCTATGCAGTTGTCAAAAGTAGGGATGCTTTGTCTGAACACAGAACATGGCATTCAGATGAGAAGTGAGATATGGATTAGAACAAAGAAAACTCTGAGCCTCAGAAAATGGGATTTGTGTACACTTTTTAACTTGTGGTTCTTTCCTCCCTCCCACTGCCTAGATAAAGATCTGGGTTTACCCAGAAGGAACCAGAAACCAAGAAAACACCATGCTTCCTTTCAGGCGGGGAGCGTTTCACCTGGCTCTAAAGGCTCAGGTAAACTCCTTAATTATGAATCTTATGTGGTTAGATGGGGTAGTAGAATTACGGTAATCTGTTAATGAAGCTTCATGGGTCAATAACAACTTTTGGTGAACACTTTTCAGTTTTCTCAACAATTATGCTCTTCACCAGTGCCTAGAAGTACATTCTTGCTCAGGTTAACTTCTCCAATGTTTGCCATAGTTCAGAGCCTAAGAAAATACCTACCCAGCTGAGACACTATGGCTGAAATCCAGTAAAAAGTCACAACATAGAATAGGGTCTTAGAATTGTTGGGGATTTAGGTGAGACAACACCTACGAAAGTTCCATTGATACAACTAGCTTACTCCTATTACAACTTCCTACTGGATCTCAGCCTACATATGAAATAGCCACACTGGGTTTTTTTATTCAGCTCAGTGTGCCAACGTTCACTGCTGATTTTGCTTCCATCCCTCCTAAATTTGTTGTGAAGCATTGTTTATTGGTTGCAACCAAACAGTATGAGATAATGGAGTTTTGTGTGAATATGGTAATGTCATAAGATCATCAGTAAAGGGCTTTATATTGGTCCCACCACCTTCACAGGTGCATTTGGTGGTGACACAGGACAGGGCCTTCTCTGTTGCTGCTCCCAGACTTTGGAATTCTGTCCCACCGGAGGCCAGGCTGGCCCCATCTTTCCTGTCGTTCCACAAAGAGGCAAAGACCTTACTCTTCAGGGAAGTTTTCCTCTAGTGACTAGCTACCTGAGTGGGGTTTTGAAATTGATTGTTGTGCACGACAGCTTTGAATGTGTTTTGGTGTTGATTTTGTTTACTGTTTTTTAAGGTCTTATTTGTTTGATATTTTCTAAGTATGTTGTACTGGATAGAGTGAAAGACTAGGACTCTGGAGAACAGGGTTCGGATCCCCACTTGGTCATGGATACTGACTGGGGAAGTGGAACTGGTAAAACCACTCCTCAAGTATCTCATTTACCTTGAAAGCCCTATTAGGGTCACTATACGTTGATTTTGACTTGATGGCACATTTGTTTAATGCTTTTCAGTATTTGTATACTTACTGTTTTTAGATTTAAATGTTGCCGTTTAATGATATAAGCTGCCGTGGGTCCTTTTTGAGGAGAAAAGTGGGGTAAAAATATTTTAAATAAATAAATAATAAACAAAATAGTCAGGAAACCAAACAGGGCAGAGCAAACAGTTGTCTCATGGTACCCAATCAACAACTGAACTGATCTTCAGTTGAACATTACGATGATAAAGATGATACTGATAGTCTGGATCCATTTCAGTCGAGGTTTAGGGCCACGTCATGGGGCTGAGACAGTTCTGGTCACACTGCTAGATGATCTGTCATGGGAAGTTGACCAGGGGAGTGGGACCCTCTTGATTTTCCTGGATCTCTCAGCTGCTCTTGATACCGTCAATCATGGTAACCATAGACCGGTTGTTGGGATTGAGGATTGGAGACATAGCATTATGCCGGCTTCGTTCATTCCTGGATGGCCAGTGGCAGAGTCCAGCTTGGGGAAGCTGTTTCATCACTGTGGACATGACAATGCGGTGTTCCACAGAGGTCTATCATCTCCCTTTTGCTGTTTAACATCTATATGAGGCAGCTGGGGGAGCTCATTCGGCGATTTGGAGTGCATTGTCATCAATATGCTGATGACACGCAACTCTGTCTCTCTGTTTCCTCTTCAGCGGGGAAGGTTGTACAGACCCTAGGCCTAGAACGTTGTCTGGCTGCAGTTATGGACCAGACAGGGGCAAATAGGCCGAATCTGAATCTTGACGAGACACAGATCCTGCTGTTGAAAGGACATCCTGATTGGTTAGGGGGGTTGTTGCCTGATTTTGATGGGGTCACATTCCCCCTGAAGGATCAGGTGTGTAATCTCGGTGTGATTTTGGACCTGGTCCTCTCAATGGAGAAAGAGATCTTGGCTATGGCTAAATCTGCCTTTTTCCATCTGAGGCCTTGTACATCTCCGCTCCCTTCTCAATAGGAAGTCCCTAGTAACACTGGTTCACAGTGTTGGTAGTCTCAAGGATCAGCTATTGCAATGTTGTTTACGTGGGGCTGCCCTTGAAGGTGGTTCAGAAGCTGCAGTAAGTGCAAAATGTGGCAGCCTGATTGGTCACTACTAACATGTTTCCCTGAAAATAAGACCAGGACTTATATTAATTTTTGCTCCAAAAACACATGAGGTCTTCTTTTCAGGGGATGGTTTACTTTTTTCATGTACAACAATCTACATTTATTCAAATACACTCATGTCATCTTCTGGTTGCTGCACAATGGTGGGGTTTACTTAACTGGGGCTAATTTTGGGGGTAGGGCTTATATTACGAGCATCCTTAAAAATCATACTAGGGTTTATTTTCGGGTTAGGTCTTATTACATCTAAATTAGGGTACATCTAAATGTGACTGTGTTTCACCCATCCTGTATGCCTCCAGGCCAAATTCAAGGTAGTGATGTTAACTTATAAAGCCCTATATGGTTTCGGACTGCACTACCTATCAAAACGCCTCTTCCTCAGGTCATCCTCCCATCCCACCTGCACCTTCCAATCCTTGATGCTGCAGGTGGTCACTCTGAGACAGGCCCAGAAATCATCAACCAGAGGCTGTGCCTTCTCTGTAGTGACTACTCCACTCTGAAACTCCCTCCCTGTGGAGGTGTGATTGGCCCTCACTCTCCTGAGCTTCTGTAAACAAGTGAAAACCAGGACTTTACAAACCTCACTCCTTTGTAATATTAATTTTGTACTGAGTTTATGCTGGCCCATGATTTGCCAAACAGGTTTTTGTTATTATATGTTCAATTTTTTTAAAAAATGTATATAATATATTTTTGATATTTCCTGGAAGCCGCCCAGAGTAGGGGCTTGTCCACTAACTGTGTGGGGTATAAGTTTAAACAAATAAATAAAATTAAAAAGTATAGGAAGATTACATAGATTTAATACTGACGATGAAGAAATCAAAATTGTTAATGGTTTTCTGTACCATGGTTCAATCATTGATTAAAGCATTGACTGTAGCCAAGAAATCAGAAAAAGACTGAGACATGGAAGGGCAATTATGAAGGAACTTGAAAAGATCCTCAAGTGTAAGAATGTACTGTATTGTGGGAGATCAAATACAAATCATCCATTCTTTCATATTTCTCTGTTACTATGCTATGGATGTGAAATTAAAAGACATGGCGATTAAAAATGTTGCCTCATTCAATATGTTGTGTAAGAATCACTTTATAGTTACTAAGGTCCACCAGAAAGACAGACAAGCAGATGCTAAAAGAAATCAAGTCTGAACTCTGGAAGCTAGAATGACCCAACTGAGGTTGTCCTGCCTTTGATATATCATGAGAAGACAAGACTCAGTGGAAAAGATAATAATATTAGGAAAAGTGGAAGGCGGTAGAAAAAGAGGAAGACCTATAACGAGATGTGTTGCTCTAAGAAAGAAATCAATGGTCTTTGTTTGAAGACGAGACTCAGTGGAAAAGACAATAATACTGTATTAGGAAAAGTGGAAGGTGGTAGAAAAAGAGGAGAGACCTATAATGAGATGTGTTGCTCTAAGAAATTCATGGTCTTTGTTTTACAAGATCTGAGCAGGGCTATTAATGATAGGATCTTTTAGATGTCATTCATAGAGTCATCATAAGATGGAAGCAACTTGATGACATGTAAAAATAATAACCAATGTACTGTCGAAGGTCACAAATGACAGAGTCACAACAGAAGTTAGGAATACAAGGGGTGGCCAACATAATGTAAACAAGGTTAGGTATGGTTCTCAGGACTATGCTTGGACAAAGTGAAGCTCATGTGGTGCTTGTTGCTGGCTAAGATCCCACCAAGGCTCAAGTGTAATCCACTCAGCTTTAGCTGTCCCTGTGAAAAGAGTTCTCCTTTCAAAGAGGGTCTTCAATCCCAAGAAAATCACTGCTCTAGAAGATAACTTGGTTAGAGCTGGTTTTAGAAGAGGCAGCTGTGTTAGTCTGTGCTAGTATATCAGGCAAAAACAAAAGAAAAAAATTAAAGAAGACAAAAATGTTGTGGCACCTTCAACTGCTATATTTTAATGTGAGGTTTTGTGGAAAGTCCATTTCCTCAAACAGTTCCTGGTTAGAGCTGAGCATTTTACTGATGTTAATAAGCTCTCAGCCCTCAGCTATACCATTTCGTTCTTGTGGACTGGGAAGGGGTGGGCGAGCATACTCATTTGGGTCAGGGACACAGCTTTCTCCCGCTGAAGGTGTGATTTCCTGCATAATCATTGTTCAAAACTAAAATGGACTTCCAGCCACTTCTGTTCCCCCCACTTTAATTTTTGGCAACCTAATGTGGTCCTATGAGAATTCTAAGGGCAGAAAATTGATCCCCATAACTAAGCTGCCTTTCTTGTCCTAAATGGGTAAGTGCTCAAGAAAAATTCATCTGATGGCACACAAGCTTTTGTAGAATGAAATCCATCTCGCCACACACATGAAGCGTAATGCACAAAGTGCTGCAACAATGCATGAATGTCCCAATAAATTAAGAACTCTGGTTCAGAGAGCTTAACGGATTCTATTGAAACAGGGCTTAAAGACTACAGCTTTGGAAAAGTGGGTTGTGAAGGGGAAAAGAAAAAGTGTTTAATTTGTAAATGTAACTCTAAGCTTCTTACTCTATCCTGTCTTTGCTACATAGGTCCCCATTATCCCCATTGTGACGTGCTCTCTTATGGCCACATACAACTACAAAGAGAAGAAGTTTAGCCCAGGTGAGTCAAAATGGAGGGGAAGTATGCATATTACATGTTCCTCCCTCTTTTTCTGAACTCAGGAATCAAGTTAAGTAAGATACGGACACTTACTAAAGCTTCTCTTAATATTCATGGCAGCAATGAGCTGGACCCAGTATCCAAAATGTTAATAAAAGAAGCTTCATCGCTTTCAGGGAATCCTAACTGTTCATTGCTTGATGTGTTACTTGAAAGAGGTCCCTCATTGTGCTGATGGTTAGTTATACCAGCAGGCAAGTCATTCCTGTTACCCTTACTAGGGAGATAATTTAAAGAATGTATAACTAGGTTATGGTGCATATTATTAGTTCTTTAGCATTCAGGTGAACAAATTAATGAAATTAGAAAGGCTCCTCATACAACCCTAGAACCCGATAGTGACTGTCCTTGGCCACCCCCCTAGCCTCACAAATGGAATCCTGTTGCTTTGCTTTCTAGTCTCTTTCAGTCAAAATCGAGGCCAAGCAGGAGCTATGCATCTTTTTCAAAATGTTAATAGTGCCCTCAGAAATATGTATGAAGTACCTTCTGGTAGCACTGTATAGAGCTAGAGCACTCTGGTGCTAAAGTACTCTAATGTTATGGCTCTGAGTAGCAGTGTCTGAAATTACAGTGTTAGCATTCCTGGGAGTTCCTTTTGAGTACAGCCTTTCGAAGTAGTCATATATGTCCTGTGTGACTTCAATTTGGTGGAGAGTAAGACAACAATAAACAGAGGTTGGTTTTCAGAAAGCACTCCCACCCAGCCACCCACCCCCCGTGATGAGTAATGTTGGAAATCCTGTTCCTCTTACAGAGGAAAAATAATGCCTGTGCCTTTATTACATGGTTCAGGGATTAGTATTGCATTAGTATTTGGCAATCCATACTGCTTATAAGTAACTACTTATAAGTAGTGCATTGTAGTGGAATGCATTACAATATTAAGACGTGCTATTTCCAATTGGACTCATTCTCAAGTAAGCAGGGAATTATCATGTTGTGGCACCTTCAACCATTACGACGTAATGTAGAACGAAAATGTCATAATGCGAAAATAAAAAGCCCATTGAAACGCATTGAAATCCCTTCAATGCGTTCCAGTGGGCTGGAAACTCACCATCTAGCAAAGATCCTCCATAGGGCGGCCATTTTCGGTGCCTGTGCAGCGAGGAATGCATCCCAGAAACTAGCGGGGAGCCATTTTATTTACCCGGTGGCCCTTTTGAAACTGCCAATCAGCTGGAGGAAAATCATCGTTTTGCAAAGAATCGGTTCCTGAAGCAGGGAACTGATCATTGCAAAGCGAAAAAAAACCATTCAGAACATCGTTTTGCGATCGTTGTAATGTGGTTTTGTCGTAATGCGGGGCAATCGTAAAGCGAGGCACCACTGTACTATGGATGATATATTTTGACAGAGGGTACAAATCCCATAATTCACCAGTATGGATGGGGACAAAGCGCCAAAATGGCGCTTCGTCTTGGTTTGTGGGTCATCAAGTTTGTCTTGGTTTGTGAATCATGCACAACCCATTAATTGCCCCTCAGTGGCACAATGAACCACAAATCAATTTGTCAGTTTGACAGGTCATATTTTTTTAGACAGCCTCTGGGGTTATCTAAATAAAAACCAAAATAACCCAGCCCCCACTGCCTTCCTATGCTGCATGGCATAGGAAGAGGAGGGGAGAAATCAAAGAGATCCCCCAATCCCGCTGCCTTTGCAAAGACAGCAGTGGTGGGGGATCACTTGGGTCCCCCTTTGCTCCTCTTCCTATGCCCCGGTAGGGATAGGAAGAGGAAAGCAATCCCCTAGCCCTGCTGCCTCTGCATGGCATAGGAAGAGGAGGGGAGAAATCAAAGAGATCCCCCAGTCCTGCTGCCTTTGCAAAGACAGCAGGGGTAGGGGATCACTTTGCTCCTCTTCCTATGCCCCGGTAGAGATAGGAAGAGGAAAGCAATCCCGTAGCCCTGCTGCCGGGGTAAAGAGAGTGGGGCTGGGGGATCACTTTGATCCCTCTTTGATCTCTTCCCTCCTCTTCCTATGTTGTGCGGGCATAGGAAGAGGAGAAAACGGGAAACAAGCCATCTCCCAGCCCTGGGAGTGGGATTCCCTTCAGTCAGGCTCTAGCAAGCCACCGAAGGGAAAATCCCTTTCTGCTTATGCCCCCCCCCCACAAGGAAGAGCTGATCTGCAGCACATAAGCAGATAAGGAATGACAGAACGAATATAAAAGGGTTATATTCATTGCTTCATATTCATTGGAGTCAATGAAGGCCAGAAATATGAAGAAATGAATTGAATCAGGAATATTAATCGAATATCCCAATTTGTTTTTATATTCGTCCCCATGTCTAATTGCAACTGACCATATATTAAGGCTCTCTAGTAACACGAAGGCCCCATCCACAAGCAATGGTGAACTTGTTTGAATGCCTAGGACTCACCCTAGGCCACAAACCAGAGGTTGTTTTAGTGACTCACCACAGTTCAAAACCATTGATTGAAGCTGCCTTATAAGTCCCCAGTTGTTTTAACTGTACTTTATTATGTCTGAACCTAGAATCCTGGCTTATTTCTGCTTTCCTTTTTTTATTTCACTCAAACCTCTCACCAATCAAAAGGTGTGAAGCAAGAGCAGCAAAGAAGATAAATTACTTCCCTGGCTAAACTACTCCCCCTTTTTTTTGCTTCTCCCCATGATTCCTAATCCCTTCCCACAACTAACTCCTCCATAAGTACCTGTTGGAGGTGGAAGTCTAATGTCAACATGGCAAAGCTTATTTGGCTCAACAAATACAGTCAGATACTCATTTCACAGAAAGGAATGCAGATGCTTAGAAGTAAAGGTGTGCTTGTTTGTGTTCCCAGAATTCCCCAAGCGGAATAGCCGCCGGTCATGTTGCCTGGGGAAATTTGGGAGTTCTAGTCCAGAAACACACTTTAGGCACACCTCTGTTTGGAAGTACACATATTCTATAGTGTTTAGCAGGGGCAGATCTGCTGTGAAACTAATGAAACTTAAGCTTCAGGGCCCCTAAAGCCGGACGGGCCCCCAAAGTGACTTGAGTCCACATTTTTAAAATATTTGTGCTAATCTGTTGTGGAGCAACTCCACTAAAGAAGACAACAATGGTTACACAGACCTCGTTGCTGGTTGTGAAAGGGCTCCATAACAGATCAAGTTTCAGGGTCTAAAAAATGTAGGTCCACCACTGGTTTTGAGTTACAGTATATGCTCCCCACCTTGTCCAGCAACGTGATATTTGAAGGGCAACACTACTTGAAGTCTGGCTTCTTTCTGAGGGTCAGTTACCAAACACTAATGTTACTTTTGTCACATTTTGTCTATGTGTGTTCAGTAAGTGAAAACAAATGGCCCAGGGATTCCTACATGGCAATAGATAGGCAGCTTCTTACCAGATTTCCAGGGAAATCCCAGTAGACTTGTCTTAATTCAGATGGAACTTTACGGCACAAGTAAAGGTATTGCTCAAATGTGGATTTTCAGATTTACCCCCTCCTGGCCCAGTGCAGCTCTCTTCATTTTTTATCTAGTTTCATATTTCGGCTTAGAGATAACTCCAATGATTCTCACATTCCAGACATTCTGGAGTAATGTGCTGGTAATTGAGAAACTATCTTCTAGCAATTAGATCTCACAAAACGACATTTCCTTCCTCTGATCCTCTGTTATCAGTGCATGAACCCGAACAAATTAAGGTTGTCCCATCACTGTGAAAAATACAGTAGGACGGTATGATGCAGTAGAGACTTGAACTATGCAAACCATGTTGTCTAGTATAAACATTACCAGATCAAGTACATCAGATAGTATTATTCCCGGACTGTATCAGAAGTGGCATGACTGAATAATTTCCAATACTGAGAGCAGGGGAATGGGGACCATATATGGGGACCATATATATATTGAGGAAAACGTTTGACCCTTCTCTCTTGACACTTTTGTTTTCTGCAAATATTATTTATTTATTTATTTATTTATTTATTTATTGTATTTATACCCCGCCTATCTAGTCATTTCAACCACTCTAGGCAGCTTACAACAAAAGGATAACAAGTTCTAAAAAAATTTATAACAATTAATTAATTAAATGATTCTATAAGATGGGAAAAATAAAAATAAATCAAATAAAGAGAAAAAAAAGGAAAGAGGACAGGAATTAACTGGAAGGGAAGGCCTGCCTATACATCCATGTTTTTAGTTGAGTGTGTGTGTGTGTATGTATATATACAGTATATATATTTGGAGAAAGCAAAAGTGTCAAGAGAGAAGGGTCAAGCGGAAAAAAGTTAATCGCCAGGAGTGTGTGGAATTTTGTTCGTTTGTTTGTTTCAGTTATGTGGAAAAACATTTCAGTTTCAGTTATGTGGAAAAACATTTAAATATGACATTATTTGTATTCTCAAGTGATACAGTCCAAGGACACGTGGAATGGTTGATTATCTGTTTAAAAGGAGACCACTCCATTCCGATATGAAACCAACTAGATTTGAGCCCTGTCTGCCATGCATTGGATATATTGGCTACCATTTGCCACTCTCCCAAGTGCCCTCCTCCAGCAATTTCCAGAGATTTCAAAAAGAATGGAAGAAATGAGAGGGAACTGAAACATAGTTGTGCTGTTTTTATAGAGCCACCTGCCTGAATGTGACAACAGGTGCACAGGAAATGTTAAGCACCCGGCATGCAACTTCCTTCTCCTTGTTTAATGCTGCTAATTTTTTTTCCAGAAGACACACTTTTGCACAGACTTACGTTTGTATTGTTTTTAATCTCTCTCTCTCTCTTCTCTCAATTCCCAACAGGGCATTGGACCATCCAGATTTTGCCCAAGATAGAAACAAAAGGCCTCAGAGTAGAAGATGCTATGGCACTGGCTGAAAGCACCCGCCACTTGATGCAGGACACTTTTTGTGAGATCTCGAGGGATGTTTGCAGGGACACCAGGCAGTGAGAGTTTCGTTCCCATGGAAGGTTGTGGAGTACACGCAAGTCAGGAAACTGGATGAGGGACTCTGTTGTTCCTCCCCCGAAAAAATAACAACAAATTAACAAGAAGTTCCTGATGTTAACCCAGCAAAACTAAGTCCAGTGTCACCTAGTGACTTAAATACACGCACATGTTTCTTACCAAAGAGGATGACTAGAGGTCGAGATCCAAAGGCTGCAGTAGAGGCTTCGGGAGTGCAGCATGAGAGTGGCTCTGTCTAGATAACCTCTTGGTTGTCAGGCCATCCCTGAAGGGATCTGCTTCACGATATGGCTTCCATCCAGACATTCTGCTGTTCTACTTATGGTTCAGAAGGAAAAGTTGATCTGCATGAGATGAGAGGCAGGTGCCTTGGAGCCCAAGAACAAAGCCGTCTGGGACTCTGCCTTGAGCGCTGAGCAACATAATCTGATCTTGCAGCTACGGCAGTTGAAAGAGATACAGAAAGTTGTCTTTCTTACTAGTCATGAACCAATGATGCAAGCGTTTGAGATCCATTGCTTGCTCTGTTCTGCAAGGTTAATAAAAGACAATTCACCTGGCGATTCTGTTTGATTACTGATTCTGTCTACAGTATTTCAAAAATTAGCAAAGCTATCCATCAGGAAAAATGTGCCTGATAAGAATGTCCCGCTTTTTGTCTCCTGCACACCTCTTATTTCTTAACAGCGTAACAGCTGTCTATGTCAGCTTGGTTGCCGCAGAACCCAGATCAAGAACCCGCTGAAGATAAAGCGAAGCAGACTGTATTAAATAGGACACAATGGAGATCATTGTCAGCCAGGACTGAGTTTAGAAATAGTGGGACAGTGGGTGGCAGCTGTCTAAACCGGTTATTTAAACTGGCAGCCAGTCTGCTGACCGTACACTTTTTTCTTTATGATTGTATTTATGGAATGATTTCTACGGGATAGTGTTTTATTTTTGATTTTATTGCACTCTGCTTTAGGAAACCCACTGTAGAAAAAAACTACAAGGTAAAAAAAAATACATTTGAAAGAATGCTATGAACAGGGGCAGAGTGTCTCTCCCCCCAACTCTATGCAAATGGGATATGTTGTGAGACATTTGAGATTTGAGTAGGAGGTGGTTGATTAGATAGTACGGCTTTCCAGTAGGCTGACGTCCTGGCAACTATTCCTAAAAATAGAGGGCACCAAGAAAATCACTGAGCAGGTCTGAAATACAAGACTAGAACTTGCTCCATTTTGAATGGGGGGGGGGCTCACCTTCAAAATCCCGGAGAGCTACTATACAATGCTGTGAATTAACTTGGTACCACACATGTCAGATATACATTGGTAGCCCAAGGGTGTGGCTGTTTGTGATAAAACAAATAAGAGCATGTACATTGTTTTACTTTGTTGCTTAGCGTAAACCATAATTAATGTCCACCTACACATTCTAATTCTTATAGGAAACTCACCCGCTAACCAGAGCCTTTCAAAAGAACATGTAGAATATTCAGGTGTGGGAAAAAAAATGCACCTATTAGAAAGCAAGCAAGCAAGCAAGCAAGCAAGCACAGGTTCAATGTGTTGAAACCTCTGCTCAGGTGCCACTGTAGCTGAAGTGGTGCACTGAGTGTGACAGATGGAGAAACTTCCCGAAAGTCTGACCCATCAATTAAGCCTGTAAGGAGATAGCTTATCAGTGATCTGAACAAACTGCCAGGATACATGGATGGGGTGGGAAGGTTTAAGCAAGCAAGCAAGCAAGCAAGCACAGGTTCAATGTGTTGAAACCTCTGCTCAGGTGCCACTGTAGCTGAAGTGGTGCACTGAGTGTGACAGATGGAGAAACTTCCCGAAAGTCTGACCCATCAATTAAGCCTGTAAGGAGATAGCTTATCAGTGATCTGAACAAACTGCCAGGATACATGGATGGGGTGGGAAGGTTTCCTCTTATGAAAGGTGGATATTGCTCAATGCCCTATATGATTCAAATTCGTTCTTCTTAATGAGGAGTCAGCTGCTAATGATGTAACTATAGAACTGGAACAGGCAATTAAGATTGTTTGATTGGCTGTCAGAAGAGGAATAGAAGATTTTTGGTGTATTTAGAGTGTGTTTAATAAAACAACCACACACAGAACTCCATTAAGCGTTGTAAGTAAATTGTTCATGTGCATTCCACACCTCTTCAAAATGTGGTGGCAAAAATAGGCATAATGGGGGTTGGGTGTTTAGGATAAGTATTTAAAAGAGCAAACATCTTTAATTCAGGAAGCACAACTAAAAATATTGATACATATGAGTGACTGAATCTTAAGAGCAGTCTGACTGACCTCACTGCCCCATTCATGTGTACATGGAATCAATGTGTACAACACAGTGACTAGAGGTCTAAATATGCATAACTAATTTTGTAATGTATAGAGCATGGAAGTGTTTCTGTGTAAAGGGTCCAACACTGTTTCCACCTAAAATGTGGTTGATTCGAGAGAAGGCTTTTCAGCAGGCTGGAATCCTGGCAACTCCTCTTTAAAATAAAATAAAAACAGCCAGGCAAGCCAAGAAAATCATCCCCCCAGCCTTATTGTATCTCTGAGGTGAGCCGAGGGTGGGTGAATGTCACACGGCTGAAGTAGGAGGGAATCCCAAGTTGCCACAAGTTGATGCTGCTCCACACCTCTGCCTCTCCTTTAACTTCTTCCTCTACTATCTCTTCCTTCTCCCTGGGCTGGGATTCTCCAATCTTCTTAAACTGCACACCCAGTCTTAAGAAATAAGGTGGGTGATGATCAGTGAAGGCAACTTCTGGATGTAGCCTCCTGACTTGCACATGCTTGCTGCATTTGGCATCACCTATGATATCTTCACATAAGCCTTTAAAATATTTAGTTTAATTTAACCTTTGCCTGCCACTCTGCTTTAGTGTTTGTTTAACTGGTGGCTTTAAGACGTTTATTGTCCTTTAGCTCAATATACCTACATTGGACGCCAAACTGAAAAGAGGTTGGTTATCATCATCATCTTACCACTGCAGAGTTTATGTAACTTTGCGAACAATTTTCTCACTATGAAACTATTTATAGAAAATAACATATCTATCTATTGTAGAGAAGGGAATGTATGTCACAATTTTCAAGCTGGTCTCCTTCAGACCTATTAGACTACAACCCCATCATCCCACAAAATCAGGTATGGTTAAGTGAGACAAAAATTGCTCCAGCCCCCATTATATTAGGGGTTTTTGTTTCTTGGTTACCTTTCTTCTTAAAAAGCAAACAAAGAAACTGTAAAAAACTGAATAAATGTGTGGGAGGGATAGGAAACACAGCATTAAAGATATGAAGAAATCTTACTTTTCCTGATTTCCCCTCATATATCTGTCTTGGGATGATATTCACCATCCTCAGAAGAACTCAGCCCTGGTGCAAGACTGGGATAACAAAGGTATTTATTGATCATGTTTTCTGTAAGTTGCACAAAGTGTAAACATATCCTTATTTCTGAAAGTAAGAATGTGGTATTTATTTAGATATTAATTAGGGATTCTTATTTCATGGGGGTGGGGGTGTTTGATAGGTTTGGGGGCCAATACCCATCCCTAGACCCTGCCATAAGGTGCACCAAGCTTCAAAATGATAATTTTTAGTGTGTGGGAGGGGAAGGGAATGCTTATTTAGGCATTTCCTCTTTTGATTTTTTTTGGCTGGGGTGTGTGTGTGAAAACTTGAGGATTTCGCCCAACCACCATAAAGTGAAGAAAAAAAATCACTACACATGGAAACTTACAGGAGAAGAAATAAGCACTTTTGTGCTAAGAAAAAACTTTGTAGAACTCTTTTTTTTAAGGGGGGGTCCTCTAGAATGGCTGAGGGGAGCACTTACAGCCTATAGTTGGGACTTTGCTCATCTCTGCTCTATAGGGCGCCTGCTAGGCATTATAGCATGGTTCCCTGACTTTGAGTACCAAAGTAGCAAAGACCCTCAAGGACAGGAGTTCCACTTTATTTCTTGGGGTGGGCTGGGGAGGGCAGGGAATAAAGTCAGCCTGGAAAAAGGATTTAAGAAAACAAGTATTTATTAAACACAAATGTGCAAGAAAGGCATTCACAAAGGCCATCTCCATGGACACAAGGTGAGAAGGACAGTAGAAAAAAATGACAATGCCCTTGCAGGCTGCACCACCAGTGTCTGAGCTTTTGTTGTTAAAGCACCAGACACCATGTATGTTGCAGGTGGAGAAAGTCTGGTATATTGGCAGCTACACCACAAAAGCAGTCCGTAGGGCAAGGGCTACCCCATCAATTGCTGTTTGGTAAGCCTGCAGGCATGGTTACATGTTCCAGTGTGTCCTTCAAAGAACCTGATGTTTTTGAGGGAGACCTACTCATGAGAGTGGCCCACCATGAAAAGAGTTTATTTATGTCGTCGGCGTTTAGGCTTCTGCTCCTTGCGTTTCTGGGCTCTCATATCCTTCTTCAAGCGGCTGTCCACCACCTTGAACTGGCCCTTGACTCCAGCAGGCCGTCGAACTTTCTGGCCTCCACCCTTCTTGGCCACAACGTAGGTCACTTGCCGCTTCTCTTTTCCTAACCCTGCCTTCTTGTAGATGCTGTTGGAGGAGAAGTTATAAGTGATACTCTTCTCTTCAGAACCTCATGCCCAACTTAACCTCCTCTACCTACGCAGGAATCCACCAACACCACTAAGACCGACCTTCCTTCCCTGCCTGATCAACTGATTTCGGGTCACTCTAATGATGATTTTAATTCTGCTCAAGCCAGCTGCTCTCATGCCTTTGACTCTACCAGCTCAGACCCCACCCCTCTGGAAGGGGTGCCTATGACAAAGTCAGTTAACATCACAAAAGGAAAAGTGCAAATTCATGAAGGCAAGTCAGGTTTTTTTTCCCCCTTGAAATAAGAACACCCCGATCTGCCAAGCCCCTGAAAAAGCTCCCAGAGCAAAACAGGAAACAAATTTTCTGTACCATCTATTTGACAGCTATTGCCAAAGAGGTGAAGATGGCTTTCATATTATTTTCTAACTGTACTAACAAATTTCCTTTTTTTTTTGCACGGGGATTAACATACATGTTTAGAATTAGGCCTTTCCTGTTGCTTTTAGTTTTCTTATGGTTTTCCTATAAATGTTTTTGTTCTGCTCATTGCTGTTTTATTTATTTTACTTACAGTCTTTATGAATTGTGTTGAACATATTATAAAAACACTCCTAATAAATATTTTATCACTCTCTGTGCTCTCATCTTTATAAAAGGAAAAGCTTAAGCTATGACTCACTATAAAACCACAAAGAGGACCACAAAAGGTCTTAAGAAATCATAAAGAACCTTAGATCATATAGAAGGGTCTTTCCTTTTAGTACCTACTTACAAACTCCAAGAGGAAACATGGGGCTTTTTAGAACCGTTCTGGATTCATTTAGGACTTCTGCTTACAAAAGAGTTCCCTGGAAGCTGAAGACCTACCTGCGCAACTGGGCAGCTTTCTCACGTTCTGAGATGTCTACTGTGTTCACCACAGACTCTGCTTTCTTCTTCATCTGCTCTACTTTCTTCAACATCTAAGGGAAGGGACAAGCAGTCAACATTAAGGAAAAGCTCTCAGGGCAGGTCTGTGTGTGCATCTCTGCCATAAAACTGAGAAATTACACTTTTTTGGATAAAAGTTACCAATACATTTCTCCCTTCAGCAACACTGGGGTTAGGGGTGCTGGACTCTCATGTAGTTCAAAATCCATATCTAACTCTTATGCTCCCAAAAATGGAACCAAAAACCATAAACAGCTGATTAACCTCCTGGCATGCCCCAACACCCTCCTTGGCCACCAAGTGGAGTCACCATGCCAGGAGAGGGGACAGGCCGAGCGGCTACCATCAGGAACCATCATCACACCAACAATAACAGGAGCCCTGGTAAGACCAAGACCTACCTTTTTCAGGCCTGGAGATGAATAGCAGCACAATATTGATTGACTGGGAAACAAATCTCTGTGTACCCAAAACCACACTGCTTGGCCCCATGCAATACTGTCCAGATACCATGCCCAACAGCCATGATGGCTAGGTAATCCTTGGAAGGGTAGTCCAAAAGAGCAACTTTTCTAAGTTCAATCCTCTCTGTCCAAGTTTAACCCCTTTTATCTCTCGTTTGCAAGATACAGGAGCAGGTGATGGGAAAGATCCCTACAGTGTTGCCACCATGTACAGTGGACACAGAGACAATCTTCAATGGTTTTGGGCAGCACCTTTGTGTGCACGTGTCCAAACGCAAGGATGGCCACTATCTTGCCTACCCTGCGCTTCTTGCGAGCCTTGGCCTCTGCCACTTTCTTGATAGGCCGGGCATTAATCTCCCGCCAGCGTTGGCGGTACTCTTCTACTGTCTGCCGGTCCAGAGGCAGTGGCTTGCGCCGATGTTGGTGCTCATCATGGACAAACCATTCAGGTAACTCCCCATCTTCCTCATTAAATGCGAACCTAGAATGCAAGGTAAAGAGTAGTAGGCAGGTCAGCTACAGCAATGTTTCCCAAGATGTCTGGTACTATTGCTGTTCTCCAAGGCATTTATTAATACCTTGTTTTGTACAATGTTCTGCCCCTGCTGGGAGCCAATTCTCACTCACAGCAAACCTCCCTGATCCCCGTCAACAATACCCCTCTCCATTACCTGTTGAAAGAATTATCAATTAAGTCTCTCTTGGCTTTTCGGGAGGTTGCGATGACCGCTCCTAATGCCAGTCCCTCAGGGTCCAGAACCCGAGCTCGTTTCACTAGGAAGACACACAAGTTTCAGCCCATCTTGCAGGCAAGAGTGACCTCATGGCAATGCTCAGTAAAGAAGCCAATGCAGTGAGATGTACTTATTTCTTCTTACCTGGGTCTTCAATGGGGATCACCTCAATATGCCCTGGTTCCCCTCTAGGTCGCTTTGCTCCTGCACGTGGCCCTGGCTGCTCCCTAAAATCAGAGAAAGAGAGAAGAGTTGTGACCCTCACTTCTTCTACATCCTTAGTACAGGTAAAGGTTCCCCTTGACAAATGTCCAGTCGTATCCAACTCTAGGGCGCGGTGCTCATTCCTGTTTCCAAGCCATACAGCCAGCGTTGTCCAAAAACAGTTTACATGGTCACGTGGCCAGCGCAGCTAGACATGGAATGCTGTTTCGTTCCCACCATGGGGGAAGGAAATTTATCTACTTGCATTTGCATGCTTTCGAACTGCTAGGTTGGCAGGAACTGGGACAAGCGATGGGAGCTCACTCTGTTGCGTGGATTCGATCTTACAACTGCTTGTCTTCCGACCTTGCAGCACAGAGGCTTCTGTGGTTTAACATGCAGCACCACCAGGTCCCTGAAATGCCACATTAGATGTGATGCCCAGGTGAACACCTACACAACACGGGGGCACTTGAAAAAGAGTTCCTAGCATTCTGGGGTTGTGTTCTTGGAAGGCCAACAAAACCCATATCTAAACATCTAGGGCAAATGTCATGACCTTCTTTGAAACTGGGGCAAGGGTTTTGCAGATATTTGCTTTGGCAATATATTATTACATACTTCTATTCCTTTAAGCAATAGTTTTATGTTTAAAGGGAGTGTTGCCCTAGCTAATGACAGCATCTGAAACACACAAGCCAACAGTCCTTTCGACTCACTGATAAGAGGAAGTGCATAAACAGGTGAATAGTTTAATGAAAGAGAACATATTCACATTTTTATCTCTTCCATAGCTCTAAGATTGTGAAACCCAAACGCATGACATGGATATCCAAAGACCCTGGATAAGACCACCTTTAGCTGATCTATTTTTTAAAAAAGGCCCCAACAGAGGAAAGAGGAAACTGCTACTCAACACACAAGCATTTAATGAAACACAGAAGGGAAAAGAAAACATAATGAAAATGCTAAAGATCCAGCATGGTAACAGTCTCACTAATGGTCCCCTTGTGGAAATGAACTTTAACCTGTTTGTAGTCGACAACACTACCTGCATTCCCCAGGTGACAGGACCTCTCAACCACAACAGAGCTATTATTTATGAATTACTACTACTACTACTACTACTACTACTACAATGTGCTGCAAAGTCAATTCTGACTTATGATGATTCCTTTCAGGGTTTTCTAGGTAAAGAACACACAGAGGTGCATTATCATTCTCTTCTTCTGGGAGTAACCTGGGACTGTGCAGCTTACCTGAGACTACACAGGGAGGCTCTACTCCCAGGAGACACACTGAGGAACTGAACTCTCAACCTCTGGCACCGTAACCTGATACCTATCTCATCAAACTATTGAGCCAGCACATGAAAAGCTATGGCCCCTATTGAAGGATGGGGTCCTAAAAGGCAGCAACTTGGAAGAGCTGCAGCAAAAGCAGATGAGACCACTGAACAGCAGAAAGATAGGAAAGATGGTATCCAGAGCGGCTGAAATTGCAGAGCAACAACTTGAAAGAGAGGAAGCCGACAAAAATGTAGGAGCTAGAGCTAGTGACCACCTCTGGAGGGAAAAAGAAAAATCCTCTTTCCTCTGTAATGCAGTCTTAGATGCCGAGCATCCTTTAATTACGACTGGCTCAGTATCAACTTCTTATACTTAGTGCTATGTAATAATACAGAAGGAGGAAACTTAGGATGATTGCTGAGATGGATTGCACCAAATTGATAGCTACACTTCCTGCCTCACAAGGAGACAGGAAGAATGTTTACAGGTCACACACTTCATGGCTTCAGGCAAGCCAGATGAGACACTGGCCCAAATCCTGTTGCTTGGCACAATAAATTGCACAAGAGTAGGGCCATTGAATCAGTGGGGATTTAAGGACTCAACTCCTCTGTACAGTCAATTGATTTAAATGGGCCTACTCTAAGTGTGGTTTACTTCAGCATAGTATAGCCATATCTGCCCTGCTCCACTCTAAAGAATAACTGAATGTTGGGAAATGACATTATTACACTTCCAGGAGGAGAGACGGATATCTCAATGTTTTCTGTTTTTCAAAGATTTTTTTTCTCAGAGTCCATCTGAGGCTACAAATGTACAAGTTTAGAACATCCCCCATGTCTCAAGAAGAACAGGGATAAGCTTGGGAAACAGGCAGCCAATATGCAGAGCCGAACCTTCCACACACCTCCCCACCGGCAACAACAAGGATATTCTGCAAGGCAAAGACCCTTGGCAGTGACCTCATGGTTCGAATGCTTCACCTCTCTTCGTTGCTGTCGCTGTCCTCTGTGTCAGAACCTGTCTCTTCAGCTTGGCCTTCGGGTTGTTCAGATTCCAGCCTTTCCTTGGAACCCAACTCTGGTGAAGCCTCATGCTGCGGCAGCTTCTTTTTCTTCTTTGCTTTTCTAGAAACTGAGTGGGAGAAGATCATGAATAAAAATGGAAGGAGTCTTTCCACACTCTCCCTTACTGAAAGTCACCCAGAACTCACTGATACAAGACTTGCATGAAAGAGGAAGAAAAAAGTTCATTTAACTTCCAGATTCTTTCTTATATTCTCTCTCTAACTCCTGCAAAACCTGAAGTATGACATATACAGGGGCAGGGCATTCATTTCACTCTCCTCTCTCAGCAAGAATAGTTAACTATGATTACTGGGAGAAGAGAAGGCACTATCGCCTAGCTCACAGATGTGTGAGACAGTCCAGCAAAAGATCTGCCCGAGCTGTTTGTAGTAAGCTGGACAAATTTTAAGATGTTGCTCCCTCCGCCACATAAAAATAGTACTTCAAATGAATCAACTGCACCTGATTGCAGATCCTGCCACTTATTTGCTTCTTCCCGGTCGCAACAGTATCCCTGCCTAAGGGGGCGACTGGTACCAGAAGGCTTTTGGATGACACCCCCTCAAAAGGAGGCAACATCAACCCTTAGAATGAGCAGCAAAACTGTTTCTATGACCCTCCCTCCAACAAAGCCGACAGTGTTGCTCTCTCTGGAATGTATATACAGTAGTGGGCAGGTGGTGTCCTGGCATTTATCACCCAGTAAATGTACTATTGCTATCAGTGTTTATTGCTTATAAAGATCGTGATTATGGTGTTTTAAATAGAGGTGTGCAGATCTGTGCTTTTGGACTACAGCTCCCAGAATTCCCTGGGCAACACTGTCCCCGAAACCCAAACCCACATACAACCGGTCACCCAAATACAAAACCGGCAGTGAATCTACAATGTATTTGGAGCAACAGCGCAATGAGATGCTGAGATAGTGGGCAGAAACAGACATCCCAAAAAACGTGCAGCACCTGCTAAAAACAGTCTCACATCATTATCCCCCTGCCCTTGGTAAAATCTGGTAAGTTAAAAAGTGTGACACAGTGTCTTTGTCATTCAGATTTTCCTGCTGCATTTCAACTTTGCCTATTTCAACATAAGTGATTGCTACTAAAATGCACTAACATCTCAATTGTATGTATGTAGGCCTAAAAAGGGGAAGCTGCAGGCGGTGGTGGTGGTAGTTTTAGCAGAAGGCATGCACCCCTTTGTGATGTCTAGTTCCGCCCGAATGTAACTGCTGGCTCCATGTCTTCATCCATTTCTAGGCCTGGTCAGCAGGAGAGAAACAGGATTTACCTGTTGGAGGTTGTGCCTGTCTCTGGGACAAAGTCTGTGCCTGCCCAATCTCCAGAGCTTCGTCAGCATCATCGTCAATTCCAGCAAAAGCTTCCTGAGCAGTAGGAAACACAAAACCAAGTCAGGGCACAGGTAGAGGTACCCACTGGCCATTTGTAACACCATTTCCGGAGTTCCCAATCTATTCTGAACCACACAGCATCAATCCTGACAGCAGAAAACCCCTGGCAAGCCAATCCTATGTTATGACACTAGAATGGCAAATCAAGGCTAATGGCACGTCCACCCACCATTTAGATACGTCTGGGTAAGTGGTGGTAGATTGGAGCTACTCCCCCCCCGCCCCCGGGACATGCTGGGGGTGCACCAGCCCCACCAAGCAAAACTGGAAGTGGTTTCAAGTTCACATCCAGTTTTGTAAAGCACATTTGGAAGGGGGCACCTGGAGCAAAACAAAACGCAGGGCATATGTCTTATAAAGTCCCCCTTTTGGACCATGTGGACCAGTTAAAACGGGCAGGAGTGCCACAAGTGGGCCATGCATTTCCTAGCTTTGGACCGAGGGTGGGTAGTACAGGACTTATACCAACACTTGGGCATGGCAGAGGGAATAAATCACTCCCATGAGAAGTGCTTACCTTGCCAAACCACAGGTTGGTCTGATGCTGTTCCCGCTCCTCCTTGCCCTCCAGGGAGACCAGAAGAGGATTCTCTCCCTCGGGATCCTCCTCCTCCTCTTCACCAGCCGACCTATAGCACATACATTAGAACTCCCATCAAGCCTGCAACACTGGAACAGGTGCACCCACCCAACTCCAATGGGCACCTGTTAGAAGCCGGGAGATTGGATGTGTTGACATATACTCATTGCTGCTAAGAGCACGGGACTGCAGGTGGTGGTAAGAATAATGACATTCTACCTAAGCAGCATACTGAAGTAAAGGAAAAGGTGTACTGTCCTTGTGCTTAAAATTCAGTGGCAGAGTCCATGCTTTGTGCGCAAAGGATCTTGAAACCTTTCTGAATGGCTGCCAGTGGCTGTAGAAAAAGGGCAGACAAACATGCAGCCTTCCAGATGTTGTTGTGCACAACTGCCTCCATCAGTAGCATAGCTAATGGCAAGGGATGCTGGGAATTAGAGTCCAAAAACACCCAGAGAGCCACAAGTTGCCTATCTTTGCTTTGAAAGATTGATCTGGACAAACTTCAATATACAGATGCGTAAGTATGAGTTCAGTAGATCTCCACCTTAACAGCATGAGTACCGCAGGAATGAGTGACAGGTGGTCCTCCGGCTCCTATTAAACTACAACTCCCATCATCCCTAGCCAATACAGGCACTTCTCCATTATGCCCCTTCCCTCCAGAGTCCAATTGCCATTGCTCTAGCTACAGAGGGAGAAGCAGCAGGACATGCAGGGGTAACTTCATCACACACTTTCCTCTTGACAGATCAGGACTGGCGATACTCCTCCCTTGCATCCCACCTATGTCATATCTCACCTTTCAGATGTTAAGCCACAAGACAGAGACCTTCTTATTATCTGCTGAGAAAACCCTTTGGGCACAGCCAAGGTGAGGGATAACAGGAACGGCAGTCCAAGTTACCCACCCTTTACATGGAAATTAGAGAGCTAGGTGGACCCACTGTTCCAGCTTCCATAGCTTCCTATATCTCCACAATGACAGAGTAGCTCGGAAGAAAAATGGGGGCTTCTGGTAGGAACAGTTTTTCTAGGAATATTATCGGGGGCAGGAAGCAGATACACAGCACTGTCTGAAGTGAATGCCTGCCCCCGAGAAGTTTCTGCACCTAAGTTTTCAGTTCCTCCACACGTGGACTTCTCTTTTTCAAAAGGGGAGTCATGGAGTCATGGCTTTTCCACCCTTACATTGGCTGAAATCTAGCAGAAAGTAACACATAGAATAGGTTCCCTGGATCAGTGGGGGATTTGATGAGGCAACTCCGCCGCAGGTTCCACTGACCCAATGGACCTACTCTACTTGTGACTGGATTCCAGTCGCTGATGCTGCTCACAGAGGTAGATCAGCTGCCTTCCAATACAGCCTCATTGCCGAGGACACGCGCATACCTCTTTGGGACACGGGCCTGCTTCATCTGGCTAGAGCGCTGCTCTACCTCTGCCATCTCATCATCATCCAACTCGCTGGCCAAAGACACATCATCATTGTCAGACTCTCCACCTTCTGAGAGTGAAAGATCATGGTCCCCATCTGCCGTGGTTGCCACAAAGGAATCGGCTGCCGCCATGTCACCCTGAGCCACCTCATGCAGCAGCTGGAAGACAGAAGAAGCGTGTGGGTGTCTCACAGGAAGGCATAACCGCAACGTCTCAAACCACTTGTCCTTCCTCCTAAAAGCTCCTGCCCTAATTTAGGACACAATTTCTCTAGTAATGCCCTTCAATGATGCTGGACTATAACTCCCATCATCCCTGACCAGCAGGGCACATTGCTTGGAGATGATACGAATGGTAACTGATTCCAAGCTAAGGTAAAGCTGATTTAAAGTGACACACGACGGAAGTGTCTGCCATGGTCTTTCCTTCTTACCTGGCTTTTGCCAATGGCCCGGAGGGAGAACATCCCTGTGTCCCCATCATCAGCTACAGAAACACCAGGAAGATCCATCTTGAGCTCCACGCGTTCTCGCTGTCGCCGCCGCTCACGCAGGATTTTGCGTTTCTTCCTGGCAGTTACAAGGACAAAGTAAAAGTTAGTGTTATGGCAGTTGTACGGAAAATGGCTGAGCTGAGGAAGGGAACTGGCGGATCTTTTCACTGTTCTCCAAGAAATATAAGAGAAAGCATTAGATATCATCCACTTTCAAGAAGCCAGTTTTGTGCTTCCTCCAGCACAGGGGTGAGAAACCTCTGGCCTTCCAGGTGTTTAGGCCTAAAACGTCTCGAATCCTTTAGCACCAACCATGCTGTGCAAGACTGATGGGAGTTCATCGATATCTAAAGCACGAAAGGCCCCAATCCCTGCTCTACAGACATATCTAGGAGGGGACGCCTCTGGACTCGAAGGACACCAGAAGGTCTCCAGACTGCAGAATATGAGTTTAAGAGCACTGTGTCAGGCCAGGGTGTCTGGACTGATTTAAATTTCAGCACTAAAAACATGGCCCAAACTTCCCCAGATGTAGTAGCACAAAATCTGGTGCTTTGTCCTAGTGCTTGAATGCCACAGACAGAACTGAGATAGCAGTTAATGAGCCCCAAGCACTGCTTGGATCTCCCTCCCCCCCCCACTCACCTCTTTAATTCTGCCATCTCCTGAGCTTTGAGCTCAGCAAGTTTTAGCTCGAGCTCTTCCTCTTCTTTTTCTTCGTTTTCCTCTCCGCCCTGGGTGTCTGCATCTGCCTGTTTGGGCTGTGTCTCTTCCTCTCCTTCCCCTTCTTCTCCAGAACTCAAGCTGGCAACGAGGAAAGAGAAAGAGAGCTTTTCTTTTTGGACCTGCATTTCTGGCTTATTTACAGAATTTTCAATTGTATTTTACAAACCAAAAGGGTGACAAAACGGTTTACAGCAGAACAACGGAAACAAGACAGTTCTTGCACTCAAGTCTTACTGCTCAAAGAAAAGAAAAAGAGCAGGGGGAGAGAAGAGGAGAACACGCAAACGCGGCGACAAATCTTAAACATACATTGCAGCTCTTCCATCAACCAGCTGAGGAATGAAAGAGTCCAGTGCATACGTCTGACAAAGTGGATGTGTCCACAAAAGCTCATATTAAAATCTATTAGTTTTTAAGGTGCCACGTGTTTATGTCTTTTCATTTTGTTTTGTTTCTTTGGATTTTTGGCAGATATGATGGAGAAGCTCTGCTTCCCATCTCTTCCTCTGCTACACAATGAGGAAACGGCTGTTGCCAAGTGATGCAACACCAGGTTGAGAGAAACAGAGGAATCGGTGCTGCTTTTGCAAATCCCTGTAAGGACAGGATGATTTGAGTAAATGGTCATGGTAAAATAATCAGTACTTTGTTAATTATTTAGCCAACACAAGGAATTTAGAGAAATCATGAGAAATTATAAGAGGAAAGTACAAATAAGGGAGGTACCCTATTGTACTGACAAGAAGATTGAGCGAGTAGGCCTAGGTAAGAAGGAAGGAACTTAATGGGTCAGTTAGAATGATCGCAGGGAGGTTAGGAGAAGGGAACATATATCAAATAAGGATATTTATTTATTTATTTGATTTTTATTCCACCCTTCTAGACATATGCCTACTCAGGGCGGCTCACAATAAAATTATTCAAAAAAACTCTTAAAACAACAATTTACATTGACAATATTAATATTAATCAAGATGGAAAATATGAAACAAAAGATGAAGTAGAAAGTAAAAGTCAAGTATTGACAGGAGGGAAGGCCTGCCTAAAGAGCCAAGTCTTTAATTGGCTCTTAAAAATAAGGATAGAAATAAATAAGTGTCTGGAGGTCTAGGTAAAGAGGGCAGTTGGCGATGTAAACAAAGGCGGGACTTCCTGTAATCGATTTAGGCGCACTGGACAGGCTGTACACCTTGGAGTACCTAACCAATGGGGAAACAAGGGAGGGACCATGCGGCTGGGAACAGGGGATAAATATAATGCTACCTGTATTGATGTGTGTGCCTACCTAGTTAGGACACCCGCTTTTGCAAAAGTGCTTTTTAATAAAGGAGAGCTGCTTGTATTCATGGTTGTCCGGTTACTGCATTTAAGTAACAAGGTGTGAGCATTTCTCACAAGGTCAGTCTTCATTCCCCAGTCTATGCTGGTTGTCCTACCAGTGCAGCATCCAGGATACACCCCAGCTCTCTTACTTGATATCTATTTCCTTGGCCTGCTCCTTCAGCTTCTTGACCAGGAACCGCCTCAGTTTTGTCCTCCAATTCAGCAGCACCCTGAGTAAGGAAAAGATAACCATGAGACCCTACGACTATCGATCATTATAGAATAAATCCTTACTTGATGCAATAAGAGTGGGATGAAGAAAACCATCACCAAGTTGACAGTGTAATCTAGCACACCATTATTATTCTAAGTTGTTGCAATTGTAGTTGTTATCATCACTGTCAACCTTTTTTCCAGTGGCTGATATATGAAGAACCTTATTCTTTGCTAGTTCTCTATTCCCCAATCCTGCAATTTGAAGCTGTCAATATACCGCAGCTCTTTACGACCCAAAACACGGATGTCCCGACAACAGTGGCGCACTTCGTTGGTGGTAGCAGTATGGCGCTCCAGCTCTTCACTGTCAAGGACAATCTAGAAAGGCAAGGGAGAGGCATCAAACTGCAGCTGGACTTCTTTGACCAGTTTAACCATCCATCTGGCTTCGCCCTAGATAGCTACCGTTGTCTGTTGCCATTTTAATGAGCCACCCACCTCTTAACACTCAGGCTCTGCACCACCACAGGGTGGAAACTTTCATCACCCGCATGTACTCACCTCACTGGCATTGGCTAGGAAGTCAACAGGGTTGGAGGCCTTCAGAAAGTCTGTCAGCATGCAGCGGTTGTAAAGAACTGTGGCACCATCTTCATATCCTTCTGCCTGTTTGAAGGGAGGAGAGACAATATGAAGAGAGGGAGACAAATCCATGAAATGCAAACTTGAGTGAAAGCTATGTCTTTCCACTTGCACCTCCTCCGCTCAGGAGCCAAACATATTGACTGAAATCCTGTTTTTTTAGCACAGTAAGTTGCAACTACAGCAGGACTACTGAATTAACTGAACTGATGGAGAAAGATGATTCCCCAAATCTCCACTGATTCAATTGGCCTACTCTAGTATGATTTACTATTCTATCTTTTTGTTTTCTATTATTCCCATCTTGAATATTCCATCTTATTGATTCAATTGTTTAATTTATGATGCCTTTATGTTTTTTATGATATTTTATGATATTTGTAAGCCGCCCCAAGTAGATGCTTTCTGGGGTGGGGTGGGGTAGAAATCTAATAAATAAATAAATAAATGAATGAATGAATGAATGAATGAATGAATGAATGAATGAATGAATGAGCAAAAGGATTTCAGCCACTGCCACCCCGCTCTGACTTTCCAGATAACAAGAGTGTCTTGTCACATTTTTCTCCCAACATCTTCTCCAAAGAGGCAAAATATTGGAAACCTGTTTCTAGCATCCACTGGAGAAACCTACAAGGCGATGGACATTACTCACAAATACTGCATTCCATTTATATATCCTTCCCCACTCAAAATAAATCACCTCCCCCCATGGCTGTTCCCAACCAATCTGTTCAGAAAAGGTCAATGTGTAGCTCCCTCAGAGATCTCAATTCTATCAGTAGTTCAGACAGACATGTGAAAAACCCATAAATGTTATTTTCTTAACAATGCTCTTCTCACTGACCTTTGGCTTCTTCTGGGTCACCAGTTGAGTTACAGACTTGGCTTGCACCTCCACTTCCTTGAAGGCAAACTTGGGGTCAAAGAACTTGCTGTCAATTTTATCTGGGGCCAAATAGCCTGGAGTGGGACAAAAGTGAAGAAAAAGAATATTAATGACAAAGTCAATATGCCCCCCCTCCCTTCTGGAAGTTAAGGCAGTAAAAATATATGATTCTTGGACCATTCTGACAGTGGCTGCAGGATGCACCTTCAGAGACCCAGAGGATACAGGTTATGAGTTTGTAGAGTTACCAGTAAAGAAATAGTTATGGTGATTCATCTCTAAAGTTTAACACCTTCAATTTATAACCCAGGAGATCTTGACAAACACTGTCTTTTTTTAAAGGTCTGTCTCCAGTTTTGTTTTGTTTTATTTTGCTTACTAAGAGCAGACATGTACACAAAGAAACATGGGGAGGGAAAAATCAAGCAATAGTAAAAAAAGGTCCAAATCCTTTGATCACTGGAAAATGGAACAAATGAGATAACGGATTGCAATCCTATAGACCTGAGAGTAAGTTGCACTGGGCTCAGTGGGACATACTTCTACATATGCAGACATAGGAATGCCAGTTAATTAAAACTGAAACATAACAATGATGCTGTTTTTTTTTTTTTATTAGTGCTAAACAGCAGCGGACTAGACCTGCAGGTCAAAAGGGATACCACACATGCTATTCTGAATTTTAGAAATAGAACAAATGGGACAGGAATGTGAAATTAGTAACATTAAAGTGTTCCTATGAGAAATACTCTTTTAGTTGTTTTTTTCCTTCCCAATAAAGTTGCAGGATTCCTAGTGTAGCTGAATAAGGTCCATCACAATTGTGGAAAATTCAGATTCACAGGAAGATTCCAGTCTTGATGTTAGCCTGTCACTATTTTGTTGCTGAAATTGTAATGCTGCACTACAACCAAAAAAGTCAAGCCTGAAGGACAAGCCAAGAGGCAGGACCAATGAATAAGTTAGAAATGAGAAATGAATCACAATACACTAAAAGCTTGCACTTTGGGAAAAATCCAACTGGAGCAAAAAGTCCTTGTTATATTCTTTCCCTTTGGAAGTCAGATTGACTTGGACAAATAACTCAATTTTTAATTTCTTTTTCATCATTTTTGGTCTCGGCAGAAGGCAACACTTATGTACAACCTCTGGGCTGTTGTGGGTACAAGCAATTTAAGAGACCCCCAACCCACCCCAAATCACGACCTGAACTTTGCTGTCAGTCCCTCTGCTTAGTGCAAAAACATCCCTTTTCTGCTTCCCACATTTCTTAACTCCAGTGCTTGGAAATGTCGGGGTTTGGCGCAACTGTCATCCCATTGGGTAACTCATTCTGCAGCTGGTTTGTGCCCGCTGGCTCCTGGACTCACCCTGGCAGACCACGAAGATTTCGGCCGACTCATTCCGCGAGGCCTGCGGTTTGGTGGCTTGCACCTTGCGGAAGAGCTGCTGGAAGATCCAGAGGAGGGGCTGGTAGTCCCGGGACCGGAAGACCTTGGTGATGAACCAGCCGCCCTTGGACAAGAAGTCACATGCCAGCTTGAGGGCCGACAGGGTCAGGTTGGCTGGTGGAGCAGAGAGGAGAAACAGGGAGTGAACAACCATGGCAAGCTGCCCAGGGCTGTGGTTGCATTTTCCCCTGTAAGCCAGCAACACCTCTGTACACCTGCTGGCACCACCATCTACACTGTGAGAAGAATATTCACCTATCCCATAAGGCTGTTGAAAAGATTACATGGTAGGTATGTTGAAAGGGAAATATACAAGGCAAATGTATTTAAAGCTAACTGTATTTTGAACCAATTAATGTTTCTATGAAGCATACCTATACAGCCTCACCACACCCCACAGCTACCAATGAAGAAACAGACTTGGAACTAAAGCAAATAAAATATAAAACATCTTGCATGGTTAGACAACTCAAGAGTGTGCCCTATTCTTTGTAAAGCAAACACGTAGAGGCACTGGGCTATATAGGCATATTTTCTGCATGCAAGTATTATTCTGGCATCCCACTTTGGTCAGACTATGTATGCCTGGCCACTACAAGAACGTAGCTCAGCACATGTGGCTTGTGTGTGATTTTGTATGTGTATGTACATATACACACACAGTTTTGCGCCACAAAGCAAGACAAGATCAACATATGCCACTGACGGAAACCACCAAGACGGGTCCCTACCTTGTGAAAAGGCATCATGGACCCAGCTGGCTCCCACGTTGGGAGCCCCATCATTCAGCACCACATCCACTTTCCATGTCTTCAGTTCCTTGCGCAAGGCCTGAGGGGGAAAGAGAGAAACACACACATTCAGCAGAAGGAACCCTCTTCTGTGACAGAAAATCTCTGATAACAATTAAGGGCATCGTCACCAAATTACAGAGGGCGCAACATCCGCAGGAGGGGCAGGAGAAGTCTGAATGGGCACTCTGTTGCTGAATGTTATTTTATATCTTTATTAATACTGTGCCAAATACTATTTCACTTTCAGCAATTCTTCTATTAGAATTCTTTGTGACATTTTCTTCCTCTCACCAAAAGAATTCAGAAAGGTCTCTTTTGCAAAGCAGTAGGAAGGATTTGGTCGAACACTAGTTCTTGTTTGCATTTTAAAAAGCATCCCACATTTTTTTTGTTATTTAAAAAAAAGATATGTGTATTCTCTGCATGAATAAATTACATAAGACAACTGGCCCCACTGGCAGGCACAGGTGGAAGAGAGGTGGCAAAGCCACAACTAAACTTTGTGGATATCAGAAGAAGCGCAATTACCTGGCGACATTTCTCGGTGGTGATGTCTTCCTGCAGTGTTACCACATTAGGGATGGGCTTGATGGGGACAAGATCAACTCCTGAAGATCAAAGCAGAGGGACAGGAGAGTAAGAACCATTCAGAAGATGGGAGGGAAGTAAGAACAAAGCTGAGCCATAATCATGAAGTTCCTCTTGCTCTTCTTCTGCAGGACAACGTAATACTGAATCAAACCATCAGTTTAGTTTAGTGGTGTCTGCTCTGACTGGCAGCAGCTCCTTAATATCACATGGAAGGGTGTTTCCAGTCCTGCCAGGTCAGATTCTTTTACTGTTTTACTATTATCTGGCCAACACACATGTACAAGTGTCGGTGCACACATGCAGTCTCTCCAATGCTTTCTGGCTTGTTCAGAAGGAGAACTGCTGAAACACAGCAGCTAAGAGAGAACACCTATGAGTTAGAAAATATCTGCTTTAATATCTGCTGAACATCACCAGTGGGCAAACCAGTGAAATGTGTTTTTTACCATCATGTCGGGCTCAATTCATAGCAAGCCTAAAAAGGCTTTCAAGGTAGGGCCACAAAGCAAGACAAGATCAACATATGCCACTGACGGAAACCACCAAGACGGGTCCCTACCTTGTGAAAAGGCATCATGGACCCAGCTGGCTCCCATGTTGGGAGCCCCATCATTCAGCACCACATCCACTTTCCATGTCTTCAGTTCCTTGCGCAAGGCCTGAGGGGGAAAGAGAGAAACACACATTCAGCAGAAGGAACCCTCTTCTGTGAGAGAAAATCTCTGATAAAAATTAAGGGCATCGTCACCAAATTACAGAGGGCGCAACATCCGCAGGAGGGGCAGGAGAAGTCTGAATGGGCACTCTGTTGCTGAATGTTATTTTATATCTTTATTAATACTGTGCCAAATACTATTTCACTTTCAGCAATTCTTCTATTAGAATTCTTTGTGACATTTTCTTCCTCTCACCAAAAGAATTCAGAAATGTCTCTTTTGCAAAGCAGCAGGAAGGATTTGGTCAAACACTAGTTCTTGTTTGCATTTTTAAAAGCATCCCACATTTTTGTTGTTATTTTAAAAAAAGATCTGCATATTCTCTGCATGAATAAATTACATAAGACTGGCCCCACTGGCAGGCACGAACAAAACAAAGCTGAGCCATAATCATGAAGTTCCTCTTGCTCTTCTTCTGCAGGACAACGTAATACTGAATCAAACCATCAGTTTAGTTTAGTGGTGTCTGCTCTGACTGGCAGCAGCTCCTTAATATCACATGGAAGGGTGTTTCCAGTCCTGCCGGCTCAGATTCTTTAACTGTTTTCCTATTATCTGGTCAACACACATGTAACAAAGCTGAGCCATAATCATGAAGTTCCTCTTGCTCTTCTTCTGCAGGACAACGTAATACTGAATCAAACCATCAGTTTAGTTTAGTGGTGTCTGCTCTGACTGGCAGCAGCTCCTTAATATCACATGGAAGGGTGTTTCCAGTCCTGCCGGCTCAGATTCTTTAACTGTTTTCCTATTATCTGGTCAACACACATGTACACGTGTGGGTGCACACATGCAACCTCTTGGTGCACACATGCAGTCTCTCCAATGCTTTCTGGCTTGTTCAGAAGGAGAACTGCTGAAACACAGCAGCTAAGAGAGAACACCTATGAGTTAGAAAATATCTGCTTTAATATCAGCATGAACTCTCTGGGCAATTTTGTCAAGCAATTTTCTTATCCTAAAAGACCCACAAGAAGATAATGTGGGCAAAGAGGTTTGAGTATTCCAAAATAGGCTTTCCACTGGGTCTTCTATTCAGGAACTATGGGAAACAGACTGTTTGGATCTAGAAAGGCTTCTGGCCTAGTTGGATGTGTCCCTTCCTGTGTTCTTTTCTCCAGATCATCCACTAACACCTCTCCCCATCCAGATTACTCACCAATAATAAGACTGGATATTGGCATAAATTTTGAAGCCACCTGCAGCCTGTTAAAAGAACACAAAAAATCAGATTCAGTACAGAGGATATGTGGGCCAAAGATTTGAAGGACTTTTAATGTGACTAAAAGTAGATCCTTTTACCCTGTGTAATTCAAAATCTTTAAAGCTCTTGCGCCACATTCTTTGAATATTAGCAGCATTAACACTTGTAACACAGTAAGTTACAAGTGCCACCAAATCGCTTGTAACTTATTATGACCTTGATAGTGATTTTTGATGCATACTGGATATTCAAGGAGCAGTTTACATTGCTACCTCCCAGTGAGTTTCCGTGACCAAGCAGGAATTTGAGCCTTAACTTCTTGAGTTGAATTCTGTTTGCAAGGTATTTTGCAACCATAGGTATTTTGCAACCATATTATCCAGTAGTTTGTTGGTCACTCTGGAATCCATTTTTGCTGATGCAGAAATGAGCAAGTTTCCAGGTTAACTAAAACCCTTCTTTGGATTAGATAGGATATTTGTCTTAGAAGCTAATTTGAAGTTTCTTTCTTGTCAGTAACACAAAGCCACAGATATTCACTTTATGTCAATATCAAAACTGGTGCAATTCTATACAGAAAATGTTCAGATCTCCCTACACCACTTGGTGGCCACTAACCATCCTCCAGGAGCAGCACACAGGTCCAAAAGTGCCCGAGACTTAGGAAGGAACTGAAATTTTCGGTTCAGCTGGATAAGCTTGAAGGATGAACGGGAGCGGAATCCTGGAAGAGAAGTAAAGGCATAACATCAGCATAAAGTACTCTCAGAGCTATAGAACTCCAAAGCAGTAATCGGGAACTGGAAAAGAGAGGCTAAAAAAGTACTTGGGAAAATTAATTCCCCATATTTGATACACTGCATACTCCTCTCAGAGTATATGCAGCATCGATCACCCCCCCTTGCAGCCAAATACCAGAGGTAGTAGCATCCGAAAGGGAGGGGGAAAGGACAAATCAGGATTGCACAATACAGCTGAGATCACCTGTGAAAAGTGTGGGGGAAACCCAAAACATTACCACCAACTGCAAAGGCTTAAGCTGCAAGGAGAATGCCTATTCTTGGTTCCAAGTTGATCAAATACAGAGAGACAACATGAGAGAATACGTAGATTGCTTTATTTCCAACAGTCTTTCACATATGAACTATCTTTTTCTTTTGGTACTATCTATTCACTATTTTAACCGAGAATCATTATTTTTAATAATAACAACAACAGTTTATTGGTAACGGTTTTGTTTTTGCCACATCATTTTATCTGACAGTAAGCTGTCATGAAGGTGATGATACAAATGTGCTGACAATAAACAATCAAATAAACATATTTGCATTATACAGTAGTAACAATTTACCAAGACACACTTTACTCTGAAACTGTACAAGGTAGTTATTGTCTCTCAGAGTGTGTATGTTATTTTTAGGTGGTTTGCTGCAATAAACTGTTGCAATAATACGAACAGAGAGCTTTGCACGCATTAAAGATTACCTGTACTAACTGGAGCTCACTTCATTTACACCCAATTTTCCTCCAAAAAGGTCTACAGGGTGTAATTGGTTCTCATACCTACTTTATTTTTACAATCACACTATGAAGTAAGGCTGAACAACAGAAATAGGCTGAAGATCACACAGTAAGCTTCATAGCCAAGCAGACTTGAATTTCAGTCTCTCCAGTCCCAGACCAATATTCCAAATTCCCCTTTCTCTCAACTACCCCACCTCTTGGTCTCATGAAACCTCATGGCTTAGTCTCGACTCTCTTATTTTGTATAATCTCAACATGAAAAGATGAGCACCTTGCCTGCAGAAAGGGGGGGCTTGTCTCTGCTGAGCATCTGTACACTTGGGAACAAGGGCAATATATAATATTTTGGCAAAATCAAAAGGGGAGAAAGGGAAGGAGACAAAGTCAAAATATTAAAGCTCCCCCCAAAAGTTTCTCCGACAGATTTGGTGGATCAAAATTCACTTCTTCAGACAGAAGGCGTCTCCTACCAGGCTCTTTACATTTATAGGTAGCCTCGTGAAGAGGCTTGACCAGGTGAGGGTACAAGTTACAGGCATCGTTGCATCACAATGTATCCTTTATGGTGGAAAGGCACCATTCAGACCTGCAGATCATAGGCTGCGTCATCACCGGGATGCCGTACTATGGGTATTTCAGGCGTTTTAAGTCAAGATGTAGATTTTGACCCACAATAACTGAATCACTCGCACTGAAGCAAACAGGTTAGTCGTTAAATCCATTACCTCCTCCCTTATCTCCCCCCCCCCTACTTTTAATTTTACTGAGCCAGCCTGACACGGCTCCTCCTTTCGAGAAAGGCTACTATGTGGCTCCTTGGCAAACACAGGCGGTCCCGCAAGAGTTTCTCACCCGTCTCCTTGGCGAGGTGATAGAATTTGTCCCTTCGGCTTTTGCCCACTTTGCCCTTCTTGCCCATCTTGCGGAAGACTCGGCAGTACACCCGATCGCGAGCGAGGGAGGGGTTTACCCACGTGCGGAAACCATGCCGTGACCTTTCACCCGACCCCTAAGTCCTTCCGCTTCCTCCTCATCCTTGGCTCTCGGTCGTCCGCGGCCATCTTGAGTGTGGAAGGAAGGCTCTTGCCCCCCCTACCCCCAAATTCCCTGAGACGGAGGGAGGCCAGTCGCTCGTCTCCCTGCTGTCGGTCCCTAGAAAACGTGGCAAGGGCACGTCGCGCTGCGGCCATCCTTCCATGGTTTTCTTTTTCTGCCTGCGTTAAAAGGAGCCTAAATACCCTATCAAGATGGCAGCAAGGGAAAGTCGACGTTTGCTTGTGTTCCCCTGATGAGCAAACACATCTGCTTTTGCGCAGAGGTGTTGTTAAAAGAAACAAACCGGAGACACTTCCCTTTTCCGGGTTCTAATTGTAAAAGGCGCTGGGTTCTCCCTAGGCGGAACTGGAGTGGCGGAAGCTTGGAGAATATATATAATAATTTGTAGTAGACAACCAAAAAAGCAAGGAATTCGACCCCAGGTTTAGTCATATTTACAGCAAAGCCATGGGAATCAAGGGAAAGTTAAAATGGTGGAAATGCAGGGCAAAAGCAAAAATGCAGTGGCAAACTGATGCATTGGATAAAAAACATAAATGCTGTCCATTTTCATTCCCTGCATCAGTTTGCCGGTGTATGTATATATTAAGGTAAAAGAAAGTTTAAAAATTTAATTACAAAAATAAACTATTTGTGAGCAAATGTGGTTGTTGTTTTTTAAATGCGGGATCTTCTTTCACAGCCAAACGCTGTGCAGAGACTGGACAAGATAATGTGGTTGTTTAAAAGCCCCTAATAATCTTTTGCTGCAAAAGATGCACTCTGGCAACTCATTCCACCACTACTGCTCCAGTTCGAAGAAATTCGGAAGTATGAGAGGTTCACTCCTATTGACACTGCGCTCCCTCGAATGGGGAAGGGAAAGATGCCCCCCCACTTTTTTTTTTTGCCCAAGCCAGAGCTAACGTTAGCCATTTTGGTTAAGGGCAAAAGGCACGTAAGAGTGACAGTTTCCGCTTTTTGGGTCGCGCACGCGCATTTCTCCCAATGCGGCTGCCGGTGACCGGGAAGATGGCGGTGGAAGGGCCAGAACAGGTAGGCAGGCGGAGGGGGGTTGCTGAGTCACTCCTCCGGAGGAGACGGTGGGAGAAGGGCGAGAGGACCCCGGGACGTGTGTTTGCATCGTGGGTGGTTGAGAGGGCGGTGATGGAGGGACCTTGCTCGGGGAGGAGAGATGGTGAAATGAATCAGTGGGTTGACTACTAGAAAAAACAATAAGAGTATCTCAATGTAGGGTAGGGATTGTGGTTTGAAAAGGCGTGATGGAGTAATTTTCCCCAACCGGCTGCACTGAGGAAGTGTTGGACTACAAGTCCCATTAGCCCTCGTCACCACGATCAAGGGGTTCATTTCCTTTCCTCCTTTCTTTCACTAAAAGGGAACTAAAGCTGCTTAGGAAAGATTTCAAAAGCATATACGCCACAGTGTTAAAATGCAGTTAAATATATAACTACTGTATGTTAAAAATGAAGAACAAAGATGATGTATTGTTTTGACAGCACGTTAAAAAGGAGTAAAATAGTGTAGGATCTCCCATTGAAACTTCCTTCTGCGGTATCCAGAAAGTTGTTGAATGCCTGCCTGAACACAACTGTTCTGTGCTTAGCCATAGAAAGATGAAGTGGGTACGCAGTGTTGTGTGAATGAATACAGTGGCAGACTAGGACTCAGGAAATCCCAGGTTGGCTGTGGAAATTCATTGGAGGGATCAAACTGGTAAAACCGCTCCTTAAATATCTCACTTACTTTGTAAGCCCTTTGGTTGCTGTAAGTAAGTTCTGACTTGATGGGACACAACAACAACAACAAACAGCAAACAACAGAAGGTTAACAAGGAAGGTGCTAACTTGATCTGCTTTAGGAGGAAGGTTTGCAGCCAAGAACCAGGCAATAAAAAGGCCTTCTCTTGTGTCCCCAGCAGCTACGGCTGTGCAGGCTTTGGAGTGGAGTGAAAGGGATGCCTTGAAGATCTCAAAATCCAAGCAGGCTTATTTTCAGTACAAATGATAGTCCACCAGTTCTGGAAAGTGACAGGTTGAGAAGTTGGTGCAGGGATTTAGTCAGAGTTATTGGGAGTGATGTAGGCTTGTCTTGCAAGACACAGAAAGGAAAGCAAGTCTGAGTATGTGCATTTCCCTGTATATACATATATATTCACACATTTCCCCACTTTTTCTGATTTTTATGCCCTCAACTATAGTGTTGCTGCTCATATGGTTATATGCCTTCTTATCATAAAGTTGCAGAGATCATTTATAAAGACATAAGATGTAGAAATATATTGTGTTTTCTTAATTCTGTGATTGTTACTTAACTCTTAGAGAGGTTTTCTAGAAGAGAAGATCAGAAATACCTTGTTTCCCTGAAAATAACACCCAACCTGAAATAAGCCCTTGTATGATTTTTCAGGATGCTCATAATATAAGCCCTACCACAAAAATAATCCCTAGTTAAGTGAAACTCCACCCTCCAGCATTGTGCAGCAACCAGAAGAAGAAGATGCAACTGTATTTGAATAAATGTAGATTGTTGTACATGAAAAAAAAATAAAACATCCCCTGAAAATAAGCCCTAATGTGTTTTTGGAGCAAAAATTAATATAAGACCCTGTCTTATTTTAATTTTTGCTCCAAAAATGCATTAGGGCTTATTTTCAGGGGATATATTTTTTTTCATGTACAACAATCTACGTAATATAAGACTCTGTCTTATTTTCGGGGAAACATGGTAGACAGGGAATTACTGTATGTGTGTTTGGGATCTGTAATATTAGCTAGCTGTTTATGAAGGGAAGAGGTGTATTAATGAAAGGGAAGATTGATTTAAAAATAAGGATAAGTTATAGGGAAAAGTTCACATGGTAAGCAGACAGCTATAACTTTAAAAGCCATTTCCTTTCTTGAGTTTATTTCCCTTTCCTTTCTTTTTTCCTTATTGTCCCGCACCTCTTGAGCAGATGGATCTGGACGAGGGCAAAGGTGGAACTGGGCTGCGCCAATATTACCTGTCCAAGATTGAGGAGCTTCAAGTGAGATTTTTCTCTTTCCTAGGGCTGGGGATAAATAGAGGTTCCTGTATTTCTAACAGCTTTCTCTTAGGCGTGTGATTTATTTTGTGAGAAGCAATTTGGATGAAGTGGCTAATGTGTATCTTTGGACTGGATAAGGCTAGGCCAGCCTTCCCAACCTGATGTCTAGGACATCTCATGGGCATCTGGCCCTGGAAATGCTGGAAGAGGGTTCTCTTCAAATGACTTCTAACCTGATAGTTTCTCTGCAACTACCATTTATTAGTGCTTGTATCAGAGACAACAACAGGAGTAATTGTAACAAATAGATCTTACTCTTGAATTCACGGTTTGATGTACATGGGACATTATTTTGATGCACAGTTCCTGTACTCAGAATATGCTTCATGATGGTGAATGTGTCTTGAAGTAGAGAGAAGTTATCTTATTACAGTAAAAGAGTAAACAATGGGGTGGTTGAGAAAAGAGAAACTATTTTGACAGATACATCGTATATTAATAAGCTTTTACATGCATTTTGGGCCAGGCTGCTTCTCCCCTCATCAGGATGGGAGGTAGTGCAGTTTGGTTACTAGCCAGTGACATGTCCCAAAGGGTTCCAAATGAGAGCTCAGAGAAAATGTCTCTCTTGCAGGGACTAGAGAAAAGTGACCATTTGAAAGGTTTTTGTTTTAATTTTTTTATTATTATTTTTTAAGTCAGGCAGAGGCAAAGCATGGTGCTCCAGATGTTGAGTTGATAGGTTGATTGCTGTGCTGTTTGGGATTGATTTCTCTTCTGTCTCCCTTTTCCTCCTTCCAGTTGATAGTCAATGATAAAAGCCAGAATCTTAGGCGGTTGCAGGCTCAGCGGAATGAACTCAATGCCAAAGGTAAGTTGGGAACTGTTCAGTTCTTTATAGTATTGCCTTTTTGACCAGGAAGCAGGGAGAGAAGGTGAGAGTGACTAGTGGGCAATTTTGTTGGGTTACAAGGGGGAGGCAGCTTTCTGTAACTTTTGCAGAGGACGCACCACAAAAAAGTCAATTGATACTCTTGGATGTGTCCAGAGGTAGTAGTGTAATGGGGGGAGGGAGGGAGAGTGTCTGAGAGAAGGCTGAGGGCTGCAGAAATAAATTGGAGGTTTATATGTGGTCCTTGTCTTTTAAAGCAGTGGTTCCCAGCCTTGGGTAAATCAGGGGTTTTTGGACTGCAACTCCCATAATCCCCAGCCAGCATAGCTGGCATTCAAGGATTCTGGGAGCTGAAGTCCAAGAACATCGGGGGGACCAAGGTTGGGGACCACTGCTCTAAGACATGGTTTCAGAGATGAGTGAGCCTGCGGGTGCAAAGGAGAATGGAGAGAGAGAAAAACTCAACACTTCCCCTTTGTTCTTCAGCAAATGTTTAGGAAAGCCCCCAAATGCTTTTCTAGGAAAAATGAATGAAAAGTAGAGATTTGGATGAGTCCAACAGATGTTCCACAGTTTGGCATTCCACCCCCTAGGGCAAGCACCCGCTCAGAGGTAGAACCCAGAGGAGGTGGAGCAGGGAAGCCGGGGCACTGCCTCCAAGGGGGCAGGATGCTGAACCTTATCGTTTTAGTAGCTGTTCTTGGGAGACACCACACATAACTCCGATTATTCTGTTGAGCTAGAGGCTTATTTTGAGACTTTTGTAAAATATTTGTAAATAATCAAAAGAGTAATTGTTGTTTATAACAGTCTTGTGGAGTTGAACTGTTTTTTGTCTTCTGATAATCAAGACTGTTAAAAAAAATTCTTTAAAAGAGCAAATTTTATATAAAAATATATTTTCCAAATAGCACAAGCTAAGACGTTTGGTTGCAGCTGCTTGCTGCTCCATCTCTTATGTTTCTACTCCATGTTTTACATTGCTACTCCATATTGGACATGATTCATTTTCCCATGTTTAGTGCAAAATATAATCCCCTCCCCCACGGCTACAAAACCAGAAGTGTGTCCTAGGTGATAAGTGGGAAGATTCTCTCCACAAGATCCAGTCCCTCATACTAATACTATTTGGTTTTCCCCCAAGTGCGCCTTCTTCGAGAGGAATTGCAGCTTTTGCAGGAACAAGGTTCCTATGTGGGCGAAGTGGTGAGGGCTATGGACAAAAAGAAAGTGCTTGTCAAGGTATGATTGTCCCCTTGTTTACTTGCATTCATACTGGTATCCTTTAGTTCAGGATGGGGGTTAAGAATACTAATGGCTGTTTTGAATGTAAATAATAGATTTAATGAAAGGTACTTTTGAATATTCTAGAAACAATGTGTATATCGGTTAGAGCAAGGGTTGACAGAGTGCAGTCTGCACAGGGCATGTGGCAACCCAGGGATCCCAATGCGGTTGTCCAAACACCCCAATTAAAAACAAAAGAAAAACAACCAACATTTTTAAAGAACGAAAGTTTTCCACAAAAATATTCTTTGTGATTCCAGAGGGTGGGAGCAGGGAGGCAAACCTTTCATGTTTTGGGCTAAGTGTCCACCCTTATTTTTTTTTAATTGCCAGTAAAAGGTGCTCTTCATTTTAAAAAAAACACATTTTAAGAGAAGACTTTTTTGGGGGTGACACAGAAATGGTTGGAACCTCAGTGTTCTAAGACTGAGCATGTGTGGTCCACAAATCAAAGTAAGTTGCCCACCTTGACAGAGGTTAGTCTGTCAGTTTAGCATTTGGAAGGCTAGGAGTCAGATCCCTGTTTGGTGGAAAGTTCACTGAGTGGTGATCATGGGCCAGTCACTATCTCTTGTCTTACTGGGTGTTGTGATGATAGGAATGAAGGTGGGAGTGGGAGCCCATGTATGGCCCTCTGAGCTTCTGGGATAAAGAATGGCATAAAAAGATGGTACATACTTTGTAATGCTTAGAACAGCTGTGTATTGAATACCAGTGTTACCCTTGCATTGCAGAGAAAGTAACCATGGCTTTGCCTAAGGCCACCTGCTGCCTTCAAAGCAGAAGTGAGATTTCTGTCTAGATTCTATCCTAGTTCATATTTCATCTTCTGAGCGGCAGTGTTTCCAGACAGAGATAACAAAAGTGTCAGAGAGTTTGGTGCTTAGTGAACCCAACTTTTGGTATGCCTTGCAAAATAGCAAAGATAAAATTTTCAGTCAATCATCACTGGTTTCATTGCGTTGGCTCGTTTGCTGCTGATGCTTCGGATGTTCTCATTGTATGGTGGTGACTGTTGTTCTTCTGTTCCAGGTTCACCCAGAAGGCAAGTTTGTGGTTGATGTGGATAAAAACATAGACATCAATGATGTGAGTATTTTCCTGCACCATGACTAACCTGCTGGAGGCTGTAAAAGTATTCTGCAATTCTTTGAACCTCATGGATTAGTAGATTTAGCCCTGATATAGGTTCTCTAGGGCTTGTCTCATATGAAACTTTGCCTTCAGAACACTTCCTAGCAGTGTGCTCCCTCCTTTCCTCTCCAGGTGACTCCAAATTGTCGTGTTGCTCTGCGGAATGATAGCTACACACTCCACAAGATACTCCCAAACAAAGTGGACCCCCTGGTGTCATTGATGATGGTGGAGAAAGTGCCGGACTCCACTTATGAGATGATTGGTGGCCTTGACAAGCAGATCAAAGAGATCAAAGAAGTGATTGAGTTGCCTGTCAAACATCCAGAACTCTTTGAAGCTCTGGGCATTGCTCAACCCAAGGCAAGTACTTCAGAAATTCTATCCCCAGATTTTGGTCTCCCACAGGATGTAACGAGCCAACTGCATCATCATACTGGGTTAAAGTAGCCTTGAAGTAACAAGAGTGTGTCGTCTCTAACTCTATCGTTCTGATTCTCCCTGTGCCCTCATTAAAACTGGAGGCTTTATATGGCTGACCACAGATCCCTTATATTTTTATCAAGAGTTATAAAAGGTATAATAAGGGATACCAAAGCTTATGCCAGGCTGCAAATCTCATCCTCCATATTTAGTTTCTCTTATCTCTTTCTAACAACATGTGAATTGAGATTTGCCCTTTTTAAAATAAATTTTTGTAATAAAGCAACAACAGGAAGCAAGGCTGGAGAAGCCAATGATGCAGATAAACAACTCCAGAGCCCTTATCTATAGGGGCAGAAGCTACAGGGGTACTGATTTGGGTTTGTGGGCTTCGATTTCCAGATTTCTTGGAGAATTCCAGAATTGTATTCCAAAAGCACAGAAAAGCACAGCCTTATATGTGGATTTAATTCTGATTATTGTGTAATGAGACAAACATACACTGTATGTCATTGCAGGAACTCTGCATGTATGTGGGGGCTGAATCCTCATGTTATCAGGCTCGGGCTAATTCCTGGTAAATCATGGACTACTGCAGCAGAGGGAGGCTTTTTTTCCCTTACAGTAGGGCTTTGGTATCTCTTGGTCCATTTTCCTACCTAATAGATATAGTTGTAGGAAGGGGTGGTTGCCTGGGATACAAGATATGTGTTTTTGTCCTGTGTTCTCCGCTATCTCTGTTTAATGTTCTGAAGAGATTTTGCCATAATTCTTATTGTAGGGTGTACTTCTGTATGGACCCCCTGGAACTGGGAAAACATTGCTGGCCCGAGCAGTGGCTCATCACACTGACTGCACCTTCATCCGTGTCTCTGGCTCTGAGCTTGTCCAGAAATTCATTGGGGAGGGTGAGTAGATGGGGGGGGGAGATGGCGAGGGTAAGGGTGTCCTCTTCTCTCAGGGGAAAAAAGGCATTTATTTTCTAGAGGCTATGAAAGTGTCTGGCAGTTCTTTGAACCTCATAAATCTGTAGATTTAGCCCTGATGTAGGTTCTAGGGATTGTTTTGGAGAGTGAACATGTGCTTTAGGTTACAGTAATGTGAATACTAGGATCTCCCTGAATCGGGACTTTTTCAGTAATCTGTAGCTCCTATGTCCAAGTGTTCTAAAGACATACTTTTCAACTGGAGTGGAGTTTGGGGCCAGGAGGAGGGGATCAAGGGAGAAGTTTTATAAAGGAGGTAGAGGTGGTGATCCTTAGGTTGTTGAGGGTTCTTCAATCATTGTCCAAACATGAAGGGTGTTCTGTGTTTTGTTTTGTTTTTTGTCACTGGCAGGGGCAAGGATGGTGCGTGAACTCTTTGTCATGGCTCGGGAACATGCTCCCTCCATCATCTTCATGGATGAGATTGATTCCATTGGCTCCTCCCGCCTGGAGGGGGGCTCCGGAGGTGACAGCGAGGTGCAGCGCACAATGTTGGAACTGCTTAATCAGCTTGATGGGTTTGAGGCCACAAAGAACATCAAGGTATGCTGAGGAAGGACCAAAATCTCATCCTGTCCCACCATGGTATGGATTACAGAGACTAATGTACTTGCAATGGACATGAGTTGCAGAATTTTATTTGGCCCCAATTTTCCAAAACATTTTAACATACTTAAGGGTATATACAGGATATACTTTGGTTCTTGCAGTTGTGGCTTAAAAAGGAGAGAGAAAGAATGGGAGTGAGAGTTGGAATTGTGGAGGATAAAGATAAACAGTCACCTTCCAGGGTCTGTTGTTGGGGGAAAGATGAGCACATGGGATATCATCAGCCAAAATGATTAGTGAGAGAGAAAGAATGGGAGTGAGAGTTGGAATTTTGCAGGATAAACAGTCACCTTACAGGGTCTGTTGTTGTGGGAAAGATGAACACATGGGATAACATCAGCCAGAATGATTAACTATAGGCTTCTAGCAGAATCTGGTCTTCTTTTGCAGGTAATCATGGCAACCAACCGCATCGACATTTTGGATTCTGCTCTCCTTCGTCCTGGCCGCATTGACAGAAAAATTGAATTTCCACCCCCAAATGAAGAGGTCAGTGGGGAGCTGAGCTTTGATGGCTTCCTGTAGCAGGATTTTCCTGGGTTGTGGTCTTTTTCTGTAGAGGTTGAGAGACAGACTACTCCATTTGCTGCACTGTGCAATTACTTCATTGTAACTTCTTCTTGTGTTACTGCACAGGCCAGTCTTTCGAGACTGAAGGATGCCTACCTGCAATCACTTCATTGTAACTTCTTCTCCTTGTGTTACTGCACAGGCTCGGTTGGACATCTTGAAGATTCACTCTCGGAAGATGAATTTGACACGGGGAATCAATCTGAGGAAGATTGCCGAGCTGATGCCAGGGGCCTCAGGTGCTGAGGTCAAGGTAAGGCTACAAATTGGGGAGTTGAAAGAGCCCCAAATAGATATCAGAAGCTTTGAAATAACAACTGTATTGTTAAGAACTATTTGATTATTGTGTTTGACTTTAAATAGTTGGAGAAACTCTTTTAAAATGTTTAACCTTGTGTTAACCTCAGTATAAGAGGTCTCAGTGAAATATACTGTATAAGGTGTTAAATCTTACGCATTGCTGTGGTGCTACACTTTATTCAGATATTATTTTGGCCTGTTATACAAGGTTAGGGGTAGGCAGATGTGGCCTTCCAGCATCCTTATGCTCTAATTTTCAAAGATATTTGGAAGGACATTGGCTCAAAGTCTGCTACAGGGCAATTTTGCCAGATTTTCCCACCAACTTGTTTTTTAAAGAAGGCACTTCTAATTCTTTTTAACAGACTCTCTTATGCATAGAACAGCTCGGGAACAACTATATGCAGAAAATGTTCCTGGCAGCCACTACAGGACTATAGGAACTTTTTCAGTGGGTTTTAAAAATTATTATCATTATTATTATGAAAGAAAAATGATTTGGGGGTGATGGTGTGGGAGCAGGTATGGCCCCCAAAGGCTTTTGGACAGGTGAGTATGACCACCACTCCTGTGGAAGTTGTCCACCTCTGTAGCAGACCAGCTGTTTTTCATCATGGTGAGGACTCCAGTGAAAAGCACAAGATCACCAGATGTTTCAAAGGAAGTAACTGTCTTGTCATTATCTGCATTAAAAATTGGCACTTTGTTATCTCTGTAGATGGATCAGTCTATAGAAAATCAAACTCCTTTTCCAACATTCCAGTTGTGTTGTTACACTCGAGGGGGAAAGATGGTCTTTCAAAATCGTATTTTCTTTTGGGATGTCTTGCAGGGTGTGTGTACAGAAGCTGGCATGTATGCATTAAGAGAGAGAAGGGTACACGTAACTCAAGAAGATTTTGAAATGGCGGTAGCAAAGGTATTATTGGTTGTGGATGTGAGGGAAGGGCTGTTCAGGGTGGGGGAAGAGCGTGTGGGCCCCCAATATGGACAGGTTTTCACTTCATTCCATCCCTTTTTTTAGAGCTAGCTAGCACATACTGGTAAGGTGGCTAAATCTAGCACAGGGCATATCCTTCCACCAGTAGCACATCTTTTGCATTTGCCAGATGTGAAATAGTGGAAGGATAATGTATATTTAGGGTCAGGATTAGAAGTACTCGAGACATCATCTTACCTGTGCCAAATAATACCAGGAGTCAGGGGTGGGGGGCCTGTGTAGCTCCTGTGGTATTTCAGCTTATCTGAATGCAGAGGTGGATACTGGATGTTGCTGGACTGCAGCTCCCAGCAGCCCTAGCCCATTTTGAGGAATGCTAGGAATTGGGAGTCCTGACTACTTGTAGACAATCTTACTTTTCTCGTGTTTTTAAGGGCATGTACAGCGGTGGAGCTTTAAAAGAATAAAGTTAGCATCTTAGATCGCCCCTTCATTTTGTTTTGCTGCTTTGCTTTTAAGTTCTTAGTCATCTTTCTAACTCCCATTTTCCTTGGCAGGTGATGCAAAAAGACAGTGAGAAGAATATGTCTATCAAGAAGCTCTGGAAGTAAAAAAGCCAATGCTTCCCAAGCAAGTCATCTGTATCTTTACACCCTCCTTTTCTTTTTCCTGTAATAAAATTGTTAACAGTCTTGGCTGCCAGTTGGGAAGAAGGCAGGGCACAAAAGAAAAGGGGGTTATGTTTAATAATATATCCTAGTTTTCCAGTAATGAAAAATAATGTAATAATATGAACAAATTGCAGCAGATGATTGTGGGAAATACGCTGAAGTTTTAGGTTCTGAGTTAGGCAGAGAGCATCTTAACTATGTTAGAAGAACCCCTTCAATTGTATATGTAAGTTCAACTTGTTTGAGCATTTCAATAACATATATGATTCTTAATGTAATATTGTTGTCAGGTCAATTTTGTCGTGTGTCAATCATCAGAATTAAGTTCAGCTCTTGGAGTCCTTCTTACCACTTGATAAACTGGTGTTTGTGAATAACCCATGAGAGAAAAACAGAAAGTAGGAATTCTCAGAAAGTTGTGCAGCATACTAACAGTGTTTGTTAAGAAGCCGTTCAAAATTTCTAGGTCTTCAAATAAAACTGCTAGCTCTGCAGGCAAGAGGAACCCTTTGCTGGATTTTGTTGAAAGCCTTGTTTCATTTAACCTTTTATTGTGGAACAGCAGAGGCAAATGCTGATACAGAGTACAGTATTACTAGACAGACTCCAAAATGTTCAGAATCCACTCTCATTATTTCTGAGGCAACAACTAAATGTACTGGCCCTAGCAACTGCACTGCATGAATGAGTAATGTAGTATCTTACTGAATATCCAGTGGGACTGCTATTAGGGACAAGCTGTTTGCCAAAGATGTTTGCTATTGCTGATCTTACTCCATAAACCCTGATAGGTTTTTTTGAGTGATGATTTGAAAAACAGTGTTCTTTTAAAAAATACATATTTTGCAGAACTGATCTGATGACAGTCGGACAAATCTGTCTGAAAACAGTCTGATCTCATGGATTCCATGCAGTTGAGCATTCTCTGGAATTTCCGTAAGGACAGCAAATATCATGCTCTGCATTTAAAATGCTACTGAGCATCTTAAAACAGTTCAAGTCTTTCATGCAAGTATGGGGACTGTGCAGCTCTCAAATATTGGATTTCAACTCATGACTGTCATTGTCAGCTAAGGCTGACAAGGCCTAAATTTCAACAATACCTGCGGTGTCACAAAATCCCCTTCCCTGGGCTAATAGTTTATTAGTATCCAATAATATGCTCCTTTTATGGGGCTGAAGACAGAGCAGACAGAAGTGCTGCTTAATAATATTTTTATTAGAAAACATTCAAAATAGAAACAGATAACATTTTTGCTCATAAGCAAATGAATATCCTATTAGCTCTTACTTGGCCAAATGCAACTCCAGAGAAGGATCAGAAACTTTGAAAGCAAAGGCACTTGAGGGGCCCCAAGAAGGCTCAGGCAAATGTCACCCATCTCCTGTTGGCTAGCAACCTCAGGAATATTTCCCATTGCAGTTAGGGGCCTTGCCACAGAAGAACTGGTCCCCGTTGTCCACTACCTAAATCTCATAAACACTTGGAGAACCAAGCAAGAAGTAGCAACTGATTGTCATTAACACAACAGCAAAGGCTTGAGGAAACCCCCTCCTGTCTGCAACCACACAGATTGCATAAGGTGAAAGGGGACCAAGCCATTCCATATTTAACAATATTTCTCTGTACAAACAGAACAAATCTTCCCCCAAAAGATAGTGCAAAGACTAAAATGCCAGCAGGGCTGACAATTTGGAATGGACAAAGCTTTGGTTAAGAATGAGCAACAGCAGCTGCCCTGCATTGCAAGAGACTACTGAGGCTCAGCTAAGAGGTAGAAGGCAACTCAAAATAAAAATCCCAGTGTCCCAAAGGCAAAGCACACAGGAAATGGCAGGGGGTTTGGGGAGGGAGGGAGGATTGTGTTCCTCTGCTAAAAGATGCCATAAATCATGTCTAGTTCCAGGGGAAAACAAGAGACCCCTCCCACAAATATTGAGAGCAATGGAAACAGGCAGCAGGGCTTCCTCAGGTCTGTTAGGGGCACAGGCTATTAGGCAAGCACACAGTCTGCCAGTTGGTCCACTCCAGAAGTACCACAAGGTGCAGAAGAGCCAATCGAGGTAGCAGCACTAGGTGAGACGAACACCAAGGACTTGTTCCAGTTCTTGTCTGCGCTGCTGAACCTAGAAGACACAAAGCAGTCACACTAATGCAGACCTGGGCAAAGTGCAGCCCGAGGGCCACATACGGCCCGCGGACTGCTCCTGTCCGGACATCAAAACCATTTATGGCTTTTTTTCTAAAGTTGATCAGTTGCTTATCTTTAACATACCGCAAAAAACCTCTTTAGTATTTGTGAAGATTAACAAGTTTAAAATGGAAACAATCATAACATCACAGTTTCAATTTATTTTTAACTAAAGTTGGTTCGGCCCCCAAACACAGTTCAGACTTCATGTGGCCCCCTATAGAATTTAATTGCCCACCCCTGCACTAATGGGTAGACAGCATACACACAGATATCTATAAGTCAAGCACAACCTCCCTAGTTACTGAAGGACAAGAATCTCGACACAGAGCTACTCTCCTTCTCTTTATGATACCACTGTCCCAGTAGTCAAGGAACTGTCATAAGGAAGGCAATGGAACACCTGTGGACTCTGTTGGGTTGTTGGGAGCAGTTAAGTACAGAGGGAACCTGGGACAGAGGGCAGAACGGAATCCTGGCATAAGAAGAGAGGGAAGGGACCGCCAAGAGCCCAGCTCTGTTGTACTAAAGCCTTCTCCCTTCATGGAGAGATCAGGGTGAAAGAAAAGCTGCAAAATGCCAGATAATGCCTTATAAAAGCTGGGCTGAACTTGTCTCCGAACCTTGGCAAAGATGTGTCTGCCAACAGCCTCCTGAATCCATGGTTGCTGGTAGAACTCTGCACGCCTCTCCTCTTCTGGGTTTCCAACCACATCCGTGATGATCTAGGAAAAAATGGGAATACTCAAAAAGAATTCAGGGAAAGTGAATGCCTGAGCTGCCAACATTCTGTGTTCCAAAACCGGAGCAGTGACCAAACTGCAAAAGGACAAAAAAAGACCTGGTAAACTGACTGTATAATTTGTAAAAACAGGAATGATGGCCTTGTTGATTGAGGCAAGTATTAATATAGTTCAGCAGTATGTGTAACAGTGGCCAGAGAGAGCGCTGGAGAGATCCCAGTAATCTGACACAATAATCAACATCATTAGCCGGCACCCTCTCCACCTCATCCTTATTCAAAAAACTACAGATCAAAATGTGATAAGTGGGCATGGAAGATCACTCTATGTTCCATGTAAAGACAGGATAAGTATTTAGTTTATGATGCTACTTGCAAGTGCACATATAGCAAAAACATGCACAGATATCTGTCCAAAGCTTAGCTTAATTTTAGTTTTCCAAGTGCACATATGGATACAATAGTTAATATGCAATATACAAAAAATCTAATTGCCATGCCCAAGAATAAACCAGACGCTTCATCCAACCCTCATAGAAGCAGCTGGACAGTGAAAACAAGAAAAGCCAAGTTTTGCAGAATAAAATCCAGCAATATCACACATTTGTACTGTAATTCAACACAATAACTGTAAGTTCATCAATATAGTGGGGCTTCTGAGTTAACTTGCCTACGGCTGCACTCCTATTCCACAGCCTAAACCCGGTCGTTACCTTTAAGTCCCTCTGTTGAGATCTGATCCACTCTTGGATGAAATCCTGAGGATTATTACTGAAACTCAACATGAAATCTCGCTGTGTCTTCAGCTGATTAATGGACTCAATGGTTTCATGGATCTACAGGCAATTGTAAAAGGTATGTTATGGACAGATGGAAAGACTTACATACCTGAGTTTGTTTCTCCTACTATGACAGAAAGATCAGCTACTCATGCCAAGTCCCATAAGTCAAGGCCACTACACACACTAGCTACCTCATACTGGCAAAAGCCCCCAACAGAAAGATGCTGAGAAGCCTAAGGCAATGATTCTCTGCAGCTCCTATTATTTTATAAGATTACTTTCCTCCATTGTGTCTTGCAGGTATACTGGAATATACTTCCCAGCATGCCTAACCAACATGCCCATTGGAACAAGGTGGTTAAGGGTAGCGTAATCATTTTCTGTGGTCATGAGATACAAGCCCCGCATAGCGACGATAATCCGTTCCAAAAAAAATGTCGCTATACGGATTCGTCGCTATGCGGGGCAAAAAAGCCCATAGGAACACATTAAAACATGTTTAATGCGTTCCTATGGGGGAAAACTCACCGTTATGCGAAGATCCTCCATGCAGCCGCCATTTTTGCTGCCCGGTAAGTGAGGAAAGGGCGCGAAAACACTGCGGGCGGCCATTTTTTTAAACCCAGTGGCCATTTTGGAAATGCCGATCAGCTGTTTAAAAAAACATCGTTATGCGAAAATCGGTAAGCGAAACGCTTACCGATCGTCACAAAGCGATGTTTTACCATTTAAAACATCGTTATGCGATCACTTTTGCGATTGCAAAAAAACCATCGCTACGCGGATTTGTCGTTAAACGAATCACTCATTATGCGGGGCACCACTGTATTTATCTAATTGATTTTTATACTGCTTATCTAAACCAGTAGTTACGCTGGGTGGTTAACATGAATATGAGATGCAGAAAGGCCAAGAAACTGATACAAAGTACTGGAAAGAGTACTTACATATAGTTTTTTTTTTTCAACTCTTGACCTAATCCCCGCCTTTCTCCATTCCTGAATAATTGCCAAACTTTCAGGCAACAAATCTCCCCATTCCATCTCAACCATTATAACTTGTCCTCAACCCTTTGAACAGAACTTGCTTCACAACAAGAGAGCTGAAATTCAGGGTTAATTGCAAATTTTTTGGAAAGTGAATGCATCTGCAAATTGGTAAGCATATTTGCTGAGTGCTGATTATGCAACTGGGTTGCATAATTTCTTTTCACCCGGAGGAGCGAGGAAGAGACCAAGAGAGATGGAAAAAGTGTAGGGCGTACAAATACACTGTCTCAGGAGTGAGATGTACTGCTACAGCCACTCTTTTCAGTCAGAGCCCCCTAGGCCATTTACTAACTCTCCATAACCATGTAAATTGTAAAGATGGTATATTTTTCCCTGCCCCCAAAAGCTACTTCAAGATTCTGAAAATTTGTAACTACAATCTGCCACGGATTCTATCGTCCGGCACACAGTGTTCTAGTCCTTCTACTCACAGACAGCTGGAGAGCCATACGCCTATTTCCAATATTAGAGACATAAGACTTCCCACAGCTTGTCTACTATTTGCTCTTCTTTTCCCTCCAGAGCTAGTTTCACCTCTTTGAAAAAGGAATTAATGCATTCCAGCCCTTAGCAATAAAACCAAACTAAATGTAAACAGAAGACATTCAAATTATGAGGAACCATTTCAAATGAAAATAAGATGTACACTATAAACATAAAATGAGATGGCTTGCCCCACTGTTACCTTATTTGAACCTTTTGTGATAACTAAAGAATCTGGATTTAGCAGAAAATCCCAGCAGTCTTCCTAGCTACTACTCTTGGGAAAAGAGATGGGAGATTTTGGCTTTGCTCCCCAAACATAACAGGGGACCCCATAAGAAAGAATACACTGCTGTAGCTGCTGTGGATTATATACATGGGGTGGGTGGGTGAGCAGAATGTCCCTAAAGCTCAAGATATGTGTATTTACCGTTTCCCCGAAAATAAGGCCTGAAAATAAGCCCTAGTATGATTTTTCAGGATGCTCATAATATAAGCCCTACCCCCAAAATAAACCCTAGTTAACTGAAACTCCACCCTCCACCATTGTGCAGCAACCAGAAGATGGTATAATTGTATTTGAATAAATGCAAGTTGTTGTACATGAAAAAAATTAAAACATCCCCTGAAAATAAGCCCTAATGCATTTTTGGAGTAAACATTAATATAATTAATTATTTTAATTATTTTCAGGGAAAAACAGTAGCTAGCACCCCCTCACACACCAACCCTATTATCCAGTCTCTGAGAGGTGAAGTCCTGGAATCTGTTTCCTACTGAAGTTGACAGAGTCTTACCTTGACATCTAAAGAGGCAATTTCCTGTTGGTTGGTGGTGGAGGCCAAGAAGTTGCTCATTTGGGCCTTCAAGGGATCATCCACCTCCACATCAATGTCATAACAGGCTGTCTTCTTCTGATCATTGGGGTCCACGCTTGAGAAATAAGAAAGGAAGCTGGGTTGGGCCAGGGTGAATACATACTTCCTGGGTGCTGCGTTTCTACTACTAACTCCCCCAAACACATGGGTTTGGATTAATTATAGATTGCTTTTTCACAAGTCCCACGAATGCCAGACCTACCTGATCACATGGTTGATAACAATAGGATCTGGATGTTGCAAGAGCCCTGCCAGCTTCATGGGGATTTCAGAGAACCGCATGCGATTGCAACCAAAAATCTAGAGAAGAGAAAGAACTATGTGAGAGAGACTGAGAAAGCGAATCTCTGCCAGTCTCTGGGCTTCTGTCAAATCTTGCTAGTGCTACTAGTTAATAAGTGTTCTGTATCAGCGTGCAAAGACAGTAAGAACGTAACCAGAAGGTTTATAGTTTATAGATGGGCTATAATAGAGATTGACAAATGAGTTGTAGAAGAGGAGACAGGTAAACTATGGTAATTAATAAAACACTTCCTTCATTTAAAAAACAGAAAGAGAACCCCAGAAATCTCCCAATCTTGCACCAGATGACCAAATATAGACAGAATTAATATCTCACTGCTAGAAAAGCAGTAGTGGTGGTGTTGGGGATCTTGCAAGTGAAAGGAAAAAGAGAGGAGAGAGAGAAGGGAGACAAGCCAGAATGTACTCACCTGGCGAAAGTAACGGTTGCAGTTGATATATTCTTTCTCATGACTGTCCTGGAGTTTGTTGTGTTTGATGTAGAGCCACAAAGCCTGCATGATGCTGGCACGAGTTTGCGTGTGAACCCCAAGCAGACGAGCCAGACGGGGGTCCAGTTTGTACTGGGGAGGCTGCAAGATCAATATGGTCTGGTGAACATACATTGTACGGTAGGCATTGCCATGTTCCCAGCCCATGTAACATGCTGCAACCTCCTTCCCTCTGTAAAGCTAGAAACATGAATGGGATCTGTCCGAGTAATTTCTCACAGAAAGGAGGAAAAAGACCACTCCAAAGACCAGAAAGTTAGTATTTTAGAAGTGCTTTGTTCTTGTTTCTTACACTGAGGATGGGTGGGCAGAAAAGTGACAAAAACTTGGAATCAACAAAAGAAAAAGTCAGTTCAAACCACCTGTAAAGATACCTCCAAAATAAACAAGAAAAACTAAACAGAAAATTGTTGCTTGCTATATTTCTCAAAAGTATCATTTCATTACTCACTGTATTTCTTTCAAAACATGACTCTCATATGCCTTGCTGCAAAGCTCTTTTAAAAAAAGACTTGTTAGAGGTAATTATCTTACTTGTAACAAGTCACTTTCAGTTTCTAGAGACCATCTCTGAACTCACCAGAGATCTCAGGTCAGGTCTCTTAACATCTGCCACTCCACTGAAAGTATGACTGTCAAAACAGTTCATGAAAATGAAGTCTGCATTGTTTATGAAAAATATTAAGATGGACAAGAACTTCTGCAAAGCATCTGACTGTGAACTCAGTGCCAGATCATTCTCAGTTGTGTCTTTACAAGCCGAACAGTGAGACACTATTTACTTATCACAAAATATGAGATTATGAGGAATCAAAATGCTGCATGATATTCCAGTGCGCTAAAGAGAAAAAGCTGTGTATTTAAGGAAACAGCTAAACATCCCTTCTGACTCTGTATCTCTATCTGGAACCAGCAAAGCTGACTCTGTATCTCTATCTGACTCTGTATCTCTATCTGACTCTGTATCTCTATCTGGTTTGTAGCAAGGGATATGGAGGAGGAAGCCTCTGGTCAGGTACTGCTCTACCTCCTTTCTTCCACAATTGGGAAGTATGGCCAAGTCATGTGACTAGGAAGTTGATCATTTGTCTTCTCTCATCAAGTGTCAGGGCATGCTCCCTCTTACCTGGTGGTCTAGCATGAGTAACAGGGTGCATTTCACATTGACATCACCTGGACGCTTGACTTGGAAGCCATCTGTCTCTTGAGTTGTAGCTATTCGGTGCCACTTAGGGAAGAAAGATATGAGAGAGCTCTCCTTAGGACAAGATTAGGGTGCAAAACATTCATTTAATCAGGCAACCAGGTTGCTTTTTTCATTATTATAGCTCCCAATATTTCACAGAAAGCATACCTGCTGGGAGTCACTGTCCTGTCTTCTTCATCTAATGGAAGTTTTTTTTCTTTTTGCTAAATCTAGACCTTCATTTCATAAAGCAGCTATTTCACCAGCTCATGTCATTAAGATGACATATCCATACAATAGCCATCGGAAACAGCTTCTATCAGCACTCTTCCCTCACATCCTGGATTCGACATTTTATGAGCTACAACAGTAAAGTATCGCTCCTATCAGCACTCTTCCCTCACATCCTGGATCCGATATTTTATGAGCCACAACAGTAAAGTATCTATACTGAAGAATTAACCATACAAGCCATTCTATTGCTCAGTTAAGAACACTTTGAATTAAGTCACTGAGATGGCAAAAATCACTGAGATGGCAAAAATCTAACTAGGCAGTGAAGCAGATACACACAGATTATTAATAA